TATTGGCTGGCAAAAATGAAGGATATGGACTAGATTAATTTCTCGTTTCCAGATTTCATGGCATTTAAAAAAAACAAAAAACACCTAAAGTAACAACTACAATACATGCTCAAACATGGCATAATAAACTAGAACAGAAATTATTGGAAGGAAAGGAATGCTGAGGATCCCGAGCAGGATGATAGCTTAGAACAAACAAGGACTTATAGAGACACATCATTTAGCTTAATACAAACATGGATTTATAGAGACACACTATATTGAGTAGAACCGACTCTTTTACCATTTGAGGGATCTTAAGAACCTCTGGAACATGGCAAAATGTATAAACATGAGTTAATTTCCAAACGGACCATGTTACCATTCACGCTTTTTCTTTTTCTCTTCTCTCCCCAGAGCAACCATTAAAGGGTGAATAATGATAAATGATCATAAATACCATTCACCATGTTAATGCAATAATAATGAGGATCCCGGGCATCATTTAGCTTAGTACAAACAAGAACTTATAGAGACACACGATAATAACTTACCAAGGAAGGATCAACCTTGTAACTATTATACGGATCTAAAAAATCTGGAACATGACAAACCGTATGGATAACGCTAACTTACAAGAGGAATATGCTACCAAAACATAAGAATTATTTTTTTCTTCTTTTAAATATTCTAATCCGGACGTCAGGTACAATTATTTCTTTGTTATAGCTTTATACATGACCTTACTATTCTATTAACACTATTCTAGGAAACGGAATTAATAGAACACCTCTTTTTTTACCTCTCTCTTTTTTACTATGCTAGCGAACTACATAGTGGTACCGTCCCCTATAATAAAATGGGATGATGCAAAATTGCACTATTCATTTTTAGATTTAATTACCATGCCTCTTCCTAAAAATATTTGCAAGGTCCAAATAAGTATAAGAGATTTCTTTATAAAAAGTAAGTAGGCATATAGTTTATAATCCTCTAGTATATAAAATTGATTATAAAATATTATGTAAACAAACTACTATTATTTTAAGATACAATATACTAACTAGAGTTGACATTAATATATAAAATCTTAATTGCTCTCATCATATCTCTCTGGTTCTTATTTTATAGTTAAAAAATGCTTCTTTTCTAATATGGCATCTTTGCCGTGTAAATAACTTATGACTTCAATATATTTACATAATTTCTTCTAAAGATTTATGTTTTTGTGATATGAGTTAACATCGTGATTGTCATGGCTAGGACTGCAAATTAGCCAGCATCTATTATTTGTGTGGCAATATAATTTATTATTACTACAGGCTGAGAGCATATTTCATATTTTCGATAAGCAATAATTGTCAACCATGTAGTCGTTTATATATAATTGAAACTGGAAGATAATCTTTTAGAAATTTAATATTACAATAATTTTCTGAATTACTTATCTCGCTTCCATCATTTCATCTAAGAGGGAGCTCTAACCACCATATAGTTTTATGATTTGGATTGGTCTTTTATATTCTCTTCTTTAAGAATTGTTGATTTGGTTAGACCTATAAATTTTTTTCTATTAGTCCATTCCATAAAACATTGTCTAAGGTAACAGATATTTATATTAGTTTCATGACATTTTCTCAAGTTGCTAAGGATTATATTATATTATGTGGTTTTTAAAAACCATTGTCAATTGTAACATATGTATGAATTAATTAACCTTTCACTTGTAACTCTTTAGAAGCAAATTTTTTTATATCAGCAATCGAAGATATTTTATATTGTAATAAATAGATTTTGTATTAAAAAATATTATTTTTAAAATGTCTTATATTATTTTCATTATTTATATTCTAGTTTATTTTGTATGCATAATATAATAAATGACAAAATAAGAAATTCAGAATAATTGTTCAGAGTTAGAAAATTTATGTATAGTATATTAATATAAAATCAGGCAGAGGCAAAAGTTAGCCGAAGACCTGCAAATTATGGGGTATGAGGGGCGAAGCCCCTATAATTTTTTTTAGTTGAGTTCCCTAAGACTGTAAAGGCTAACGACGCCCCTAGATAATCATAAACTCAAATAAGACATTATCAAACGCCATATGAATATAACATAAAATATTGTACTCAATAAACAAGTATAACATATTTTTTTATTTCATAAATTAATTATATTTTAATCTTATTTACATTTATATATTGAACAAGTTTATATACACATATATTATTTTACTCATGATTTTAATAAAATATATAAAATATTTTAAAATGTTTAAACATAATCTCACTTTAAAAAGTCTTAATAAAACTGTCAAAGTTGGGCAAAATTCTTGGTTTCAACGATGTCCAAAATAAACAGGTTTGACTATTCCAATTACCGTCGCATCTGCTGAACGCAGTTGTCAAATCGCAATTAATAATGACTTAAGATAATTTCAGTCAAAAATGACATTACATCGTTAGTTTTTGATGCAATATCCTCTTTTGCAAATAATAGGGTGAGGATAAATGTTTAAACTAATTTTTTTGGTTCTTAATGATTTTATCAGGGCTACAAACCCAACTGCTGAACTTGCTTAACCCAAACCCTAACCCCTTTTTTAAATTTAGCGTTCAGGGTGCAAGTTTTAAAAAAAATCTTTTAATGACGATATTTATAAGATAGTATGTTAATTTTCCTAAATAAAATTTTTAAAATAGAAATATAATATTATTATTTTAAATTGTATTGTATAATAATATTGATGATAAATTATTTTTTTATGGCAATATTAATTGAAATAAATTTTTATAAAAAAATTATCTTTTTTTATTTTAACTAATTTTTATAAATCATTATATTTTCCTATTTCCCAATTCTAAACCCACCTGTACCCGAACTCCTTTCAGAGATTTTTCACTGAACCCAAACCCCCAATTTTTTATAAGGAGGGTCAACAGCCTAGATTTTATGACAAAACTGTGATTATTATATACACAGTCATGCACCATAATTTTTTATATGCGTTACTCATATTTATGATTAAAATATAATGTCATATTACTTGGTTTTAGTTTTTGTCAGAATACGAAAAATTTACAATTAAGATTAAATAAATTATTGTTTTATAAAGGGCCACCGAATAATTTTTTGCATTGGGCCGCCAAAAGTAGTGTTGTTAAAAGGTTCGATTTAAATCGATTTTTCAAAAGGCCCGATTAAGATTTTATCTAAACTAATGTTATGTAAGAATTGAGATTTGACAAATAGATGTCCAAGCATTTTGCTTGCTAAATGCAAATCTTTAGACTAATGCAATTTTGGTTATAATCTTAATCGGGCCGTATATTTAACTGAATCGGTCTTTTTAAAAACACTAGCCAAAAGTATTGGCATGGCAATATACTTTTCCTCCCGAAGAGAGAAATCACAATTGTCAAAGCCACGTTAGAATGATAAACGAATGTACGGATTACAGCCGACAGCGTGAATGGAGATGATCGATCTTTCCCTCTCCCAGAGATAGGTCGAGTATATGATTCCATTCTCCCACTAGTAGCGTTGTTAAACGGCTCGTTTTGAGCCGATTTTTAAAAACGGCTAATTCATTATTTTATCCAGAAAAATATTACGCAAGCCTGATTTTGCTCATATAAGGAACAAAGATGGCATATATTATCAAAATCTCCAGGTTTAGGTTATATTTTTCTGGCTAAAATATTGAGTTAGCGGGTTTGAAAAATCAGCTTATAAACCCTTTAACAACACTGCTTCATCAATCCTCCCCCTAATCCCTTTTATTGTTGCCAGTTCTCTTTACAAGACAGCCATAAAATCCCCAACCCCAATTTTTCTTTATCTCGCAGACAATGACACACCCCCACCAAAATTTACTATCAATCCCTCCCCCCTCTTTTAATTATAGACATAGATAAGCATTAACAGAAAATTTCAAAGATACATAGAAAGTGAAGCGATTAAAAAAAACACAGGAACAAAGAATGATGTAAATAATTATACTTTTAAATCACTCTGTCACTTACAACACCTTTTATAAACAAATACAATTTTTAGCAGAAGAAATAATTTTAAAAACTATGCTCAACATTTTTAAATTTGTGAACTTGCACAATATCAGAGACCTGCAATCCCAGCCTGTATTTGATTTTTTTTAATATACCCAGGGCAGACCATATATTTTTTAACAGAATAATTTAAATAGCCATTATTTATAAAAATAAAATATATATATTTTTAAAAATCTGAGCCAAGCTGAAAAAATTAGGTCAGGACTGGAAATATAAAACTTGGGCAATGCAAATGGTACCTATATAGATCTAGATATAAAAAAAAATATTAGAATTTTTAAAAAAATGTCTTAAATATTTTTTTATTTATAGAAAAAGTAATATTTCTTTACTTTCATTTTTTCAGAAATTGATGGTAAAATTTTATCAGCTCAAGTCAGTTTGGCTTCTAATAAATGATTATTTTCCATAAAAAGTAACTAGGCATTCTTTATTTTTCAAATAAAGATATTAATTTAAAAATGACAAAAGTAGTCAAGTGAATTCTTGATTTGATCATTTTTTTGTTCTATTTGAGTTGAATTATGGAAATAAAAGTGATTACAATATTTGGTGAATAAATTCAAAATGAGTGTAAAAATTGATTTTTTCATCAACACCACCCAATTTATGAAAAATAAATTAAGACCTACAAAGGTAAAAATTAAAGACTAGTATAAAATTTTGGAAATTGTTTAGAGAAATTGAAAATAAGAGCAGCCACTCACTTTATTATATATAAAATAGATTTTTAAAATATATCATTTTTTTCCATTCCGCAGTAACTATAATATAGTAAAGTGAAATAAAGATTGAAGACACAATATTTGAACAAAGTAATTTATATATTTCTGAAATGTTGGAGACAAAAATCATTTAAATTATTCTTATTTCAACAATTTTTATCCAGAAATATGCTTAATTTTTTTTATATTATGATAGTATATAAATATTGAATCTCTTTTTATTTATGTATTATCAATTTGCCTAATATAAAATAATTATCAAATATTTATACATACAATATATTTTGTATAAAAATTTTAAAACATGATTATAAAAAAAAGTTAATGTTATATTTATTCATCATATTTTCCCAATATATCTGTGTCACGAAACAAGAAATATTCCTGTAAAAAATATATAATGTATATTAAGTATATGAAATTTATATAATTACATTATCTTCAAATTTAACTGTCATACCACCATATTCTGGAAGCAAAACTTTATCTCCAATTTTCACACTCATTGGTAAATGTGAGCCTTTCTAGTAAATTAAAAAAAATAAATTTTAACTTAATTTATATTACATCATTTTTAGCGCCAGGACCAACAGCTACTACTGTTGCATTCAAAACCTTACCTTGTGACTTTTCAGGCAACATGATACCCCCTTTAGTTTTTGTTTCAGGTAAAAATCTTTTAACCAATACACGATCTGCTAGAGGTCTAAAAACTTTTAATGCCATAGAAGCCTATAAAATAAAATATTAATAAGTATATTCAAAATTATAAATATATATGCTCAGAAAAAAATTAGAGTATTATGCATCAGATATCAGCACATAATTTTTTCATCATTGAAAATTGACTTACCATTTTTAGAAATTTTTTAGAAATTTAAAATATGGGAGATGTATAAAAAAAACAATTTTTAAAAAAATGTCTGATTATGTCTATATTACGAAAAGAAAAATAATCTCGAATTTTCTGGAATCTTTTTTACTTTAAAAATTAAAATTATTTAGTAAATAAAGTATTTTTGATTAAATATAAAACACGTTATCTATTTTATTAATTTTATTTAATCTTCGATATTTTCTTAAAAAAAAAGATATTAATTTTTATTAAATATTTTAACGAATATAATATTTAAATACTGCTTCCTGTTTATCACGTTTTTATTCAATATCACAAATCAAACTATCCATCCGTCTCATTTTTTTAATTTAAAAAAATTTAACATTTTTTACATTACATATAGTTAATAATGTTTCGTGCTTCATCTTTGACTAGATCCGTTGGTAGCAAACTACAAAAAATGAGTAAAGTAGCCATACCATCATCAAAAAGATGTTATGCCAAAGATTTAAAATTTGGTGCGGAAGCTAGAGTTGAAATGCTTAAAGGTGTCGATATACTCGCTGATAGTGTAGCAGTTACAATGGGCCCTAAAGTAATGTATATGAATTTATAGTTTGTAAATGTTTTTATAGGGTCGCAATGTCATCCTAGAACAATCATGGGGATCGCCCAAAATTACCAAAGATGGAGTTACAGTTGCAAAAGGAATTGAATTAAAAGATAGATATCAAAATATAGGAGCTAGATTAGTGCAGGATGTGGCAAATAATACAAACGAAGAAGCTGGTGATGGAACTACGACTGCCACCGTTTTAGCAAGATGCATTGCCAAGGAAGGATTTAATAGAATTAGCTCTGGGGCGAATCCAATTGAAATTCGCAAAGGTATCCATCTTTAAAATTTATAATTTTTAAGCAAATTTTTATACAGGAGTTATGATTGCTGTTGAAAAGGTGGTTGAAAATCTTAAGAAAATTTCCAAAAAAGTTAGCACTCCAGAAGAAATTGCTCAAGTTAATTTTTTTTTAATTTCTAGGATTATCAACTGTTTTAGGTTGCAACTATATCTGCTAATGGTGACATAGAAATAGGTACCCTGATATCAGAAGCAATGAAAAAAGTTGGAAGAGATGGTGTTATAACAGTTAAAGTAATTAATTTTCTTTTTTATACACCCTATAACATACAAAAATAGGATGGTAAAACTATGAAAGACGAATTGGAAGTAATTGAAGGATTAAAATTTGATAGAGGATATGTATCACCATATTTCATGAACACTGCTAAAGGTTCCCTTATTTTTATTATTATATATTATATTTTTATAATTAGGTGCTAAGTGTGAATTCCAAGATTGCTTTGTGTTATTGAGTGAACAAAAAATTTCTACTATTCAATCAATAGTTCCTGCTTTAGAATTAGCAAATTCTCAAAGAAAACCATTATTGATTATAGCTGAAGATATAGATGGAGAAGCACTTACTACTTTAGTTTTAAATAGGTATATATATATATATCTCATGGTATCTAATGTATAAAGAAAAACTAACCTTCAATGATTTTATTTAGTGTTGCATTGATGTTTAGATAAGCAATTAAAAGTGGTAATGACTAATTTTTTTAAGTAAATTGATGAGTCAGGTTTTCATTTTGTATTTTTGAAAATGAACTCATCTCTTAGGATTTTGTAAAAATTTTATAGGATGATTTTTGAAGTTACTCAATTTAGCTTTAGTCTATATAATTCAAATATTTTAAATAAGGGTTCTAGTTCCTACTAAAAATTTAAAAGTGGGTTTTGGTTATTAAATTTTATTTGGTTCCTATTCCAAGCTAAAAATTTAAAAATAGAATAAGGTTTGTTTTCTAAAACAGATTTATTATGATTCAACACATTCATCTAATATATTAAAAATAAAATTAAATAATTTTAAGGGGTCTCAACTTAAACCTATATTAACTATTTCTAAAAAATTAGTCATCTGAACCAAACTTATAAAAATATCTGAGCTGGTTTGTACTTTTAGGATATCAATTTAATTCACATGTAGTCGTGTTAAAAACAGCTAACTTTATACCTACAAAAATACGAATCGTATTAGATTCGAATATTCGTATGAATAATAAAATGATTATTCGATTCGTCGAATATTCGATTTGATTTGAAAATTTTATTTACCATGAATTAAAAAAGATCTATTATAAAATTTATTTTGTAAAATTTAACTAAGGATAAAGACAAACAAATTTTATTATGAGACAAAATAGAAGCATACATATATAATATATTTATATACAATGTGGAAAAATCAATATAATATTCATATCTATAATGTAGATAAATCTGACAACAGCCAGTTTTTCAAACATAAAGTTTTTCGGATTGTTTCCTCCTTTAACGACATTCTGTATTTTGTAACCATATGAGCTCCAACAGAAAACAGTCGCTCACATGGGGTTGAAGATTCCTGTATTGACAATATGTCCCTCGCCATTTTAGATAACATGGCATTAGCAATATTTTACAAATAAAGTGGTAAAAACTTTAGGCAAAAAGTCAAATTTATGATTTCTCCATTCATCAAATGAAAGAGAAATATCAGGTTTGCCTGTCATTCTTGATGTGATGGGATTAACAGTTTATTATAATTGTATATGTTATGTGTTATATAAATTACCTTCTTCGTCCATCTCTATCATAAAAGAAATTTCTAAAGTAATGGTCTTTTATGAGATAAATTAAAATGGAGTTTCAAAATTTGGCGCAATTTTCATTATTCCACTTGGAGATTTTATTAAATTGAAATAATTCCTAATAATAATATATGATTTATATATGATTATTTTCCAATATATATTAATACTATAAATTATTTTAGTCTAATAATCTCGAATAATAGATAAAAAATTATTCGACGAATAATATATTTTCCTTATTCGAATTGAATAATGTGTTATTCGTATTCGTAAAATACGAATCGAATAACAAATAATTCGTTTTAGGTATAGCTAACTTAATATTTTATACAGCAAAATATTATGCAAGCCTGACAACTTTGCTCAAGATAGCACAAATTAATCCTGACAACTTTGCTCAAGATAGCACAAATTAATTATTGTAATCTAGGCAATATTTTTCTGGTTTCTAAAAATTGGCTCAAATTGAGCTGTTTAACAACATTGTCAGCTATTTTTAGCCATTTTTTTATATTATTCTTATAACCACTACATCCCCAAGTTTAAAATAACCAATAACATCCTAAAAAACGCCCTTATATTATTTGGCCAGCTGCCTTAGAATTAATTCCTCCCCCTTATAGATTTAATATGATAAAAGTGAAAATATTTTAATTGTATACTATTCAATATTATAATTATTAAAAAATATGCCACTTTATATATTATTCTAACAAGTTTTTATGTGAAAAGATTTGAATGTCTCTTTCAACTAATTTTATTTTTTATCATGAGTTAAACTAGTGTGTTTTGGTTTGGGTCTCTATTTTTGATATTTGAACTGAAATCCTGAAATCTTGGTGAAATTTAAAAACAATATGTAAGGTAAGCCTGAACCAACAAATTTAAGTAGGTGAACGATAGTGTTCATAAATGGCTCAATTTACCCAATTTTTAAAAATGGTTAAATTAGTATTTTATTTAGTAAAATATTGCATAAGTCTAGAAATATTTCAAATAGATGTCCAATGCCATTTATGAGCAAAATTGATTCAAATCAAGTATTTAACAACCTAGTTAGATCTTTAATTTCAATATGTCTTTAAATTAAAAATAGGCTAAAAGTTGGTCTACAAGTTTGTGCTGTAAAGGCACCCGGATTTGGTGATAATCGCAAGAATCAACTCCATGATATGGCTATAGCTATAGGTGGAACTGTTTTTGGTGATGACGCCAACATGACCAAAATTGAGGATGTTTTACTCACCGATTTTGGAAGAGTGGGAGAGGTTATCATCACTAAAGATGATGCATTATTATTGAAGGTTAGTGTCATGATTTTAACTTTTTTTATTCAAAATTACCAATGTTGATTATCTAATTATTATTAGTATATCATACCTTATTCTAGCTGGCTCCAAAATTGTTAAATATAGATTACATTTCTAAAAAAATTGACTAAGTTTTGATATTAAGACAAAAGATAGGTTATTGATTCTAAATTGTTTTAAAATTAGCTCAACATACAATTTCAGTTAAACATAACATTGCCCTTTTTTTATAAATTTTGAATGTAAACAAAATTCATTTAGGGCAAAGGCAATAAAGGTGACATCGAAAAAAGAATAAATCAAATCAAGGATGAAATTGAAGAAACGACCTCTGATTATGAAAAAGAAAAATTACAGGAGAGATTAGCTAAATTGTCTAGTGGAGTAGGTGTATTAAAGGTTTTTTAAATAGATAATAATCCAATTATTTTTTTTATACTTGCTTATTCATTATTTATATAGAAGGTTCAAATTTATTTTAAAATACACATAATTTAATTTTTATTTATGTATTAACATAATGTTTTTTTTAAAATGAAAATAAACAATATCTGTGTACCGAGATCTGAATGCAAATTTTTTGTGATATTTGTTTTTCCTATATGGTACACTAAAATATAGATATTGAAATGAGATGGTCATTTATTAACAATATATGATGAATCGATTTTTTGTATTACATTTTTTAAATATAATATCCATTAATTTATAAATAAAACTCATTAATTTTTAACTGTAGAATTTTCACCTTTTTATTTTCTCATACATTATTATTCAATAAAAGGTGGGTGGTTCCAGTGAAATTGAGGTTAACGAAAAGAAAGACAGAGTAAATGATGCTCTCAATGCCACACGAGCAGCCATTCAAGAAGGAATAGTTCCAGGGGGTGGAGTAGCTCTTCTCAGATCTGCCAAGTGCTTAGACGAATTAAAAAATCTTAACAATGATCAACAAATTGGTTAGTTTTTAATACTATTATATGTAATTTAATAAATGTTTTCTAAAGTCGTTACTAGTTAAAAATTATTCAATTTGTTATTTAGTTAGAAATTTGTGGGTAATTAAATTTCCTTGAAATATAATAAATTTTAGTAAATATACTTTTATTATAAAATCTTGTACAAATATGAGTAATTAAGTTTTTAAAAATTAAAGCTACACTTTCTTGTATTTACAGTATTGATTTTTTAAAATTGAAATAGTGACTTTCCTGCAAATTTTAAATTATTAAAATATAACCAAAAGGAGAGAAAGTAATGCCCTTTATAGTCAGATTTGATTGATAGACACCAATATGATTGAACCAGTTGGGAAAACCTTTCCTAAAATATGGTTTTATAGCTATATTACTAAATTTACGAAATATGTAAATTTAATTCGATTTTTTGCAGGTCTAATTGTCAGATTTAATAGGTCATAGCTGGGTCTTTTGTCTAAATTATATTAACATAAATTTTTATTTATTATTTGCACAGGCGTAGAAATAATCAAAAAGGCACTCCGAATGCCCTGCTACCAAATTGCTAAAAATGCAGGTGTTGATGCTTCAATTATAGTCGAGAAAGTAGCTAGTTTTCCCTCTGTAGATATGGGTTACAATGCTCTTACAGGAGAGTTTGTCGATATGATTAAAACTGGAATTATTGATCCTACCAAAGTTTTTTGATTTTTAAATTTATTTTCCAAAATGGGTGTACCTAGACCTGAATGCAAATTGTTATATTTGTTATTCCTAATTGGTACACTATATAAATAATATATCTTTACGAATCAGTCATTTCTCTATTTATAATTGGTTGATTAACCTTTGATATAAACAATTAATAATAATACATTTATGTGATTGTTGTTTCAACCAAACTCAGTTATAATAAATATCACTATACAATTTTTCATATGCATAGGTAGTAAGAACCGCCTTAATGGATGCGGCAGGCGTGGCCTCTCTCCTTACAACTGCTGAAGTTGTTGTAACAGACATTCCCAAGGAAGAATCTGCTTCTCACCCAGGAATGGGTGGTGGTATGGGTATGGGTGGAGGCATGGGTGGAATGATGTAGAATATTGTTTCATATACTAGACGCTGCGTTTTTTATAAACCATTCATTTTGCAATGTATCTCGTATTATTTAGTAAATATATATTTTTTTCCCCCATTTGTAAATATAATTTTAAGTATATTGTGTAAGGAAAATTCTTCTTTATTAATAAATTTCAATTAAAATAATATTTTTTTAATATTACATCATTGAATATTGTGATGATATAAAGATCTAAAAAAGTTTATATAATCTCCTGACAAACTTTTAATTGTATATTAAATTTTTTACAAAATCAAAATTCTTTTTGTTACATGATAGGCAAATAAATAAATTTATATTAATTTTTTTTTAAAAAATTATGAGGAATATTTTTTCAATAAATAATATACATGCATATCTTGATATGGTTTAGTTGGTCAATTGAAATTAACTGTTCTATGTGTCGTATTTCATGATGTCTATAAATAAGACTAATTGAAGATATATAATAAAGCAAATATTGCTATTATAAATTTATATTGTGATAAGTATTTGGTTATTTATTTAGACAAAAAGATAGAATATAAAAAATGTTAATATTGATGAATTAATATATTTGCTTTTCTCAAATAAAATATATTTTGTCATTGGCTGATATTATGTTAGTGTCGATTTGGATATCACTTTGTGCGCTAACATTTTCAAATAATAATGGATCAAAATTTTGAATGTAATCTAAAGTCATTAATAAATTAAATTGTCTTCAGATCAATGAGAAATGTAGTGGAATATTGTTCTTAATGGATTTTCATTGTAAAATTTATTGCTTTTGACGGTTTTGACAAATATCTGACAATGAAATGTCAATAAACCTATTTTACTAGAACCTATAAAGAATGTTACTTTAATATTAAGAAAACTGATATTTCATTATAATGACAAGTTCCATAGCCATGACTTTTTGAATGATTGCAGGAACATAAAAAGATATATAAAGGATGTTTCTATATTAGAAATTGTTGAAGATAATGTGACAGAACAAATGCAATATTTGTCACTAATTTTCTTAGTACCCGCCTCCTATATCTAGAAGTTCTTCCCCAATTCCGATAATTACAAAAATAAAGTTGAAATTGAACTGGTAGTTCTACAATAATTAAACATATGAGATTAAGATCACATCACTTAAAAAAATTTTAATTCGGTTAAATGGTATAGCAACTAAGATTATTTTTATTTGCAGAATTAATAAATAAGTGTATAAAATATTATTTTTGAAAAATTAATTATGATTGTGAATAAAAGAAAGCTATAAATGATCATATATAATTATATTGCAGATAATAATTCTATATTAATTTGTTGTGATGAATAGTTGCAGATTTAGTTTTTAATTATTTATATGCTCACTCATATTTTTTAAATTCTCTTTAAAAAAACTTTCAAAATGATATCAAACATTTAAAAACAAAAAATACTTTGTTCAAAAATATTTTGATTTTTATTCGAACTCTAATTTCAAGTAATCCAAAAATTTATAGCTATATATTTGAACATAATTTAAAAAACTAATATATCACTTATAATATAAACCATTTTTTAAAAGTAATATCAGAGGCCTGCAAGGCTGGGTACACGGGCCGGGACCTTTTTAATCTTATAAATATACCTGAGTCAGGCCTGAAATTATTCTTTAAAATACCCGGGCCAGGATGAAAAAAAATTCCTGGCAGGTCCTTGCAAATAGTGCCTATGCAGGTCTCTGAGTAATATAGAGTTAAAAAGTCATTTTTCCATCCCTTACTATAAGCTCGGAAGGTGGCTTCAGTCTGGTATCTGGTTAATTTTAAATGAATATCAATTTTTTTTAAACACTAATAATTATAATTCGTTTAAGGTCTAGTTAAATAATATTCCTTTGATTGAATTTATTATATTATTCAAAGGGCTCAATACTTTTATGAATTTAATTATAAAAAATATATATTCATAAAATAAAAGAAATAAATATTTATAAATAATTATAAGATTATTTTATTTTTTGTATGTCTTGACTTTTATGGCTCCTTCGTCATAGTTGTAATCTGGTTTATAAATAAAAAGAAAATCTATTTTGAATATAATTATTGGGTGATTTCAAATTTATTTATTTTAAAAAATATTAAAGGGTTACAATTACAAATAGTGTTATTAAACAGCTCGCTTTTCAATAACGGCTAACCTTATATTTTATCCAAAAATATTAAGCAAGCCTATAGATTTTGATCATAGAGGGCAGAAAGGTTTGGTCATCTATTAATGAAATCTCGAAGTTTGCATAATTTTATTTTGCTATAGCCCTTTTTAAAAATCGACCCGTTTAACAATACCAATTACAAACTAAAGTATAAGTTAAGGTTAGAAAAAAGGCGAATGGTATAATATAGTTAACAATTTGGGAGCAATCCAGGAATTTAAGTGAGATATGTCAAAAATTCAAATTGTAATCCTTGTAATATTTTATAGAGAAAATTCGCGATTCAAACCAGTATTAAATGGCTATTTAATACACAATCTGAACCTTTAAAAAAATTTTGAAACCAGTAACACTTTTTAAAAATGAATAATAATCAGTTTTGAATGATTATATATCACTATTTGACGGTACCATCTAACCAAGTTAGCGCGTAAAAGTGTTTTCTTCCGATATAATTTGACAAAAGAGAATTGAGAAGATATTTTTATCTTAGGCTCAATATTAATTATTAGAGAATAGTGATAAAATTTTATGTGGTGAAAAGGTTTGAATCAGTTTTAAATGTTCAAACCTAACTGGTTATCGAACCTGAATAGAACCTATATTTGTTACCATTTGGACCCTTGGTAAAAAAGAGATATTATAATATAAATGTCGCAATTAAAAAAAAATATATGTTAACCTTTTTTAATATTTATAAACAATTATATTGCTAATATTATATATTATTAATTATTAATAATATAAGTCAACACAAAGTTTAATATGAAAAAAAAATTCCAAAATAAATAATATAAAGGTGAAATATAGTATAAAAAAGATAAATCTGCACTTTGATAATTCGAATTAAGGTTAACTATAGCCAGTTTCTGTCCGAAGAAGAAGCCTTCTCGCGAATCGTCAGAAGGCTTGCGGATGTGAGATCCTAAATCCTTGAATAAGGATAATGCAAGAAAGGAAATCAAAGTAGTAGATATGGGATAAAGATGCGATCTTCTGATATTTCTGCATATTTGGAACTTTTATGTTGTTCTTTTTGCTCAGGTAAATTTGGAGTTTGGTTGGATAAAGCTAATATATCCATATAAGTATAGTCACAGACCAGAAAATGCTTCGTTTCCATGGGATCAGGGTGATTCTGTCCCACTTTCCATCAGATCTAAAAGGTCCTGGTGGGTCAAGTATAGCGAGTATTTGGGGCGATTATAATGCTCGCTGGATCAAGAAATCGCATTGCGTGTTTCTGTGGATTCGTCATTTGCACGATCTGCAATGTAAGTTGCGTCTTCCTTTGCAATTTATGTCTGCAGCCAGAGCAGTAATGAAAGATTATTGTACAACTTAGACTGATTCATATTGCGTGGGTTAGCTCACTATAAAATTCGTGCCCAGATCTAAGTAAATAAGTAAAGAAATAACGGTCTGTTGAGAGCGTGATAAATAATATGGATTCAACGCAGCATGCTACAACTGGCCTGTTCCATTCCTTCTGCTTATTTGGCAGATGGAACATCATCAATACATTCCTTAGCAGGATAGCATCATGTAAGGAAAAGTCATTTTGTGAGGTGTCGGACGTGATTGTGGTTCAAAATTAGACTGCACGAAATAAAGGTAGAGCAGGATATGTGGGAGATTTAATCCTAGGCCACTACTTTTGGTGGGTAATAAAACTTGGGCCCATGCTGTTTTTGATTTTAGATTCAAAATATTTTTGGTCTTTTTATTCCTTTTTCATAAATACTAAGAGAGATGGGATATTTAAAAATAGACGTTGATAGCGGAGCATAAAGTATGCGTGCAATGTTAAATAAGTTTTTAGGAGGAAGGATGATGTAAAGTATGCCTGGAATGTTAAAGAAGTTTTGAGGAGGAAGGATGATATAGGCGAGGGTAGCAAGTCGGAAGTCACCATGCTTATGAAAGGTATCAAAAGTAGAGGGAAGGCACTGATTGCCGTGAATCCGTCTATTTGGAACCTAGATGTGTAAGCACCCTAAATGTAATTTTGAAATTGTGGGGAATTTGTTCGGAGGTGGTCACAAATTTGGATTTTATTTTGTTGAAATGAGACCAACAGCGCATCCAATTTCTTTGATATACTGCCTTATTGGTTTCCAATTGAGGTTCACTAATGATTCCTTCGTCTATCTACCAGACGTGGAGTGAAAGTTAACATTCTTAATTATGGTTTGAATTATATTATTGAAGCAGGGCAAAATAAAAGGGATCCTGCTGGATGCCCTCTGCTGAGAGCACATTTTGAGAGGTGAATTGCAAAATGATGGAAATTGGTAACAAGAATAGAGACATTTGGTGTAGCATGGGAATGATGCTAGCTGATTGCCAGAATGAGTTACGGGAGTGTTGTATGCGCTACCACAATTTTGATAAGTGTTTCATTTGTGGGAATGCTCTTTAAATAAAGTAGAGTAAGATGTACAGCGGCCTCACATCCGCCAATTACTCCTAACCCTAATTGAAATGGGGTGAGAAGAGAGGCCTCATATTTTATCCTGAATGTAATCATTTTAGTGACAAGGAGGAAAGTTGAATTATTGGATATTGGTCTGATATCTTTGTTGGGTTTCTGTAAGGCTATTAGTTTAGCTACAAAAAGTATAGGGGAGACATAGCTGTTGAAATCGCCATATAAGATTCAGTTCAAGTTTGTGATCTAAAGAAGGAGGAAAGTTTATAAGCTGATTAATGAAGAAGTTGTGTCCTGGAGGAATATGAGTCTGATTCCATCTAGGCCGGGAGCGGAGTCTCGGTGGAAAGATAGGATTGCCTTCCTTACTTCGTCTGAAGTGAAATCGGAACAACGAGAATAAGGTCATTAGGTGGTGTTGAAGTGGAAGAAGGGTATTAGGAGTTTTGTAAATGTCTCATCTGAGTGTTCAGCTAGTGAATCATAAGAGGAGGCCAAATTAAGAGCACCTTTAATATTTACAGCCGATTTTCTTTAAAAGTATTTTGACTTTAGGTCCAATAGGAAAAGATTTTTTTGTTATAAAAAATTTTGGGACTCTTTAACCATTAGAGATGAGGAGAAACGTTGCATGAGGCTTCTTTATTGGGTTAAAGAAATTATTGAGGATTTATCAGGTAACCTAAAGGTATTAATACCAAAGAATAGGAATTTATGCCATTCCATCTCACTATTAAAGTTTTGTAATAGAGAAGAGATGCAACCAGAGAGAGAGACTTAACGAGTTGTAACCTAGCATGTTTGTGTTCTGATAAGATGTTAGGTTTTCTGGTATTGAGGAATAGATATGAGAAAGTTGTATTAGAAGCATGATTTAAAGGGGGTTCTATAAAAGGGCTGGGAAGCGGGGAAGCATTCTGGGAACGAGGTGAAAGTCTTTAATGAAAGCACCTGGTATCGATTGGTCCAGGAACATATAATACACCATCATTTGTTATATATATAAGTTTCAGGAAGGAAGGTCAAATTTTGGGTTCAAAAGAGGTGTTGTAAAGCAAAAGCTAATGCCAAATATTAGAATGTATAAACAAGTAATTTGAGTGAATGGTGCGACTACGTGTAAGAAAAATGAATTAATACGATATTGAATAATTTAAAGCTGTAATAAAAGGCGAAAATAAAAAATTGATAATATTTTGATAAAATAAGAGTTTGAAAAAAATCATTAAAAAATATATAAAATGTTAAAAGATTTTTGTTCCAATATATGGCACAAAATAGACTTGAACAAATCTTCATTTCAGGATTAAACCCAAATTTATATAAATATCTATTTGACTCAACTTGAGATGTTCGCGGAAAATTTAAAACCTTCTTGTGTATAAATAATATTTAAAAGATTAACCTGCTGGACCTAAATAACTTTTAAGCGGAAGTGGCAACATATTTATTCGGGTACCTCTATAATTCCTAAGTGACGGATAAAATAGAGATGGATTCCTTCTATAATTGACATTAATAATTAATTTTTTTTATAAAAAAAAGATACTCAAAAAAATTGTGCGAAATGGCAAAATTATTTAAAATTTCGTGATTTATTATGTTTTTTAAATAAAAAAAAATTGTATTTTCTTTATTAATGAAAGAATTTTAATCTGCAAATAAAATAAATTTATTTTTATTAAAAGTTGTTATTTAAGGATATCTCAGAAACTATTAATTAATCAACAGCCATTTTGATCATTTAATTGTCACTAATAAGACACGAAATCTTTAAATATATTTGAAGAAGAACAGAATAATATATTCAAATAATAATAGTATTTTATGAGATGACAAAAAGAAAATCCTTGTATATAAGGCAGGGAAGAATTGATTTAATGTTCCTACCTCTTTTATAATAAAATTAATTATGTTATAAATTAGGTTAAGCTTGAGAGTAAAAAGACGTTTAGAATAAATTATCTTTCAAGGCTAATGAATATTGCGACACAATAACTGAAATAAGAAAATTAATAATACCGATGTTTCACTATCATTTTAAATATTATATACAAGTGCAAAAATGAAGAATATTTATGAATCTTCCTTTTATGTAAGTGATGCACTTTTGGCGGGCCGATATTTTATCTAATGTTACATTTAAAGAACTCGGTGAAGAAAAATAGAGCTAAGCGCTAAATCAACCTTTTGCGATCAGTAAGGGAAGGAAACAAATAAAAATAAAGTATTTCAACGAATCTATCGATTTTAAGTTTTAAGGTAGTAATATTTTAGAAACTTGTATTATTTCACAACCCGTAAAGAATCATTTCCAGCGTTACCTCAGCATTCGCAGTTAGTAAGAATTCGCGGTGAAGTTTACCAAATATGCTCTTTTTTTGTATTCTTGGCCGCAAATTTTGTATATTTCTTAGCAAATTCGCGCTAATTGTGAATTCAGTACGTATCACTCAGATTTTAAAACATTTTATAAATTCGAAATGATGCATTTTTTAGACTCTAGAAATTCCCTTATTTTTTTATACAAAGAGGAAGCAAAAAAAAAAGATGTTTAATTGTAAAGGTTTATAAAAAACGCGATGGAAATATCATGGTAAATCATTACTTGTTGGCAAAATATATTTTTCCTATATCTTCATTTTGGTAAGGGTCAGGATCTACATACGATAATTGCGTACGTTTAGCTGTAATACCTCGGCAGCCTGGAGCGAAAATGGTTTTTCTATCCATTAAAAAAAATATATATTGAATTATTTAAATATTATTTATTATTGTACGGAGCGGAGAAAAAGTAGGGCGGGGAGGCGAGTTGGAGAATGAATTTTATTTATAAAACACTGCCGAAATTTTTAAAATAAATTATATCAAATAACGAGTAAGTCGTATAATAATAATTTTTTTTAAAAACCATCATTTAAAAAATGCTCGTATTTCAAATTACCCTTTGAAACAATTTATAAAATACGAGGTGGGAGAGGGGGAAGGGAGGGCTGACATAATTTTCGAAAAATGGCAAAATTTTGAAAATTCAGCTAAAATGAACGACATTTGAAAATCCATTACTAGTTATTTATTATTGTTCTATGAATTTTTTTAAAATATTTTGAACGCCATCCTGCCGAATAAGTTAATACCACTTTATGACCTGTTCCTGAGTAACCCACAGATCTCTGTTTACAATTTAATAAATTCAGTATATGATTAATTTTAAAAAAATATGGTCAAATGTAGTAATTCCGTAAATGTGTTATTTTTTAAACTTTTAATCACTTTGTGAGCGCGTTTTTTAAATTTTAAAGATCCGATTTTTACCAGAAATATGTTTCAGTATGTTTAGAAAATTATATAATGTTTAAATTATAAGTTAATGGCAAAAAATTTATAAAAAATCCTAGAATATAAGTTTTCTACTACCTATAAAAATAGAAATTAAATCGATTATTTGCATAATTCAATAGATTTGTAATTTTGAATCTAATTGGGTATTTTTTGCATTGGTACAAAACTGTAATATTTTTGATGGGTCCAATATCCCACTAGATTCGAAAATTAAATCAGAATTAATTTTTTTTTTTAAATGATAAGAAAAATTTTTTAAATAAAAAAAATGAATATGTTTTAAAAAAAATTAAATTTGTTCAAAATCCATTCACATCTAGAATTTTCTTTTGAATTTTGAAATGATGACATCTTATTCACAGTTAGCGAGATTTCGCGGCGAAATATACAAAAATACACACAGCATATTTGTATACTTCACCCCCCCCCCAATTGGTGCTAACAGTTATGGCTATAGCGCACTATTTTTTGAGGAAGTAGCTAATGAGTAGTAACGGAACTTTTTTTTGAAGTAGTGTTAAACGCACTGGGTGTAAATAATGTAATTTTATTATTCTAGCTGGGCCGATTTCGATTTTATTTAACTCAGACCCTCTACTTAATTATTGTGATTGTTTTTAATATTTACTGGCTTCTGTTTATCTTCTAATATTGATTATTGGAAATCATGAGCATTTAATTAATTAAAAGCAATTTTTGAATAATTTTCCAGTTATTAATCAATTAAAAGCACTTATTTAAAAATGATGAAATTATTTTTAAATATTTTTCCATATTAATAATTAATGTTAGGTGACATTATGAAATATTTTTTTTATATTAAGGGTAAACAATCATTTTTATGACATAGTAATTATATTCATTGCCCCCCCCCCGCCCCCATCCCTATCTTTCAGTAGCATGAATGCGTGGAATTATAAAAGTTATATCTTTTGGGAGAAATTAATGGTTTATTATAAATCTGATCAGCAAAAACTTTCTGGTGTGTTCTCCGAATATTTTTACGATATGAATACTCCTTTAAATATATTTTACCTAATTTCATACCTGTCAACTCACTTTATCGTAACCCCAACCTTTCAGAATAAATCTGGTTCCTGCCCACTCGTCCAACCGAGAATCAAATCGCCATTTTGACTCACTTCATTTTATATAGTCCATTTATTTATGTTTAGTCACTAGGAAAGTATAAGTTTGTATACATTAAATAAATATAATTTGTTATTTATATAAATTATTTTCGGTACAAAAAATAATACAAATCATCGTTACCAACTACCTAAATCTAAATAGCCTCTTTTATTTTTAAGTTGTTTAGGAGAAGGTATATAGACGGCAAAAAAGAGAACTATTTAGAAATAAGATGAACAAAGCCAGGGCCTAAAATCTTCTGGAGCCACAGCTACCATTTAAAAAAAAGTATTGTAAATTTTTTATTGTAGTATTTAATATTTTTGCCAAATGAATAAATAATTTTAATTAATATTTGATTTTTCATTTGCATTCTCCTCAAACTATGAATATTATTATTCAAACCTTTTTTTTTAAAAAAAAATATATGGGAAAGAATAAGATAATTATATTTTGATGTTTTTCAAATATGAGATGAATTACGCATGTAAATCCAAAATTAAAATGGCTACATCGTTATATAAATGTTATCAATCTATAATATTTTTCTTTTATCTAAAATTTTTAAGTTATTTAAAAAAAAATACATATCATCTTAATTAATTTTAAGATCAGATCATCATTCCAATCACCAAGCCACTATATTATAAATTTAATATATAATAATTATATCATTATTATCCCTAAAGTAGGTATATAAGTATAAAGCTCATCCAATTATATTACAACAATTATCCCAATCTCTTAAATCACATACTATATATAAAACTTGAAATCAAAGGATCATAAAATGACAAAATTTTAAAGCAGTTTTAAAGCTTTGAAACTTCACGAATATGGAAACTATTGGTACTATAAACGCTTCTTATCAACTGTATATGTGAAGCCTAAAAAAAAATCATATCGTTTTATAACGAGACAGGACTGAAGACTCCTCATCAAAACAAAATATTGCAAATTTTATATATTTTTTTTAGCATTTTCATCCTATAGAAATGAATTACAAAATATAAAAAAATATATTACATATTAACCTGTTAATGACATGGTATCTAAGCAGGCATGAGCCAATATATACTTATTACCATTCAGCTACATAATATTTATCGAAAAATAAATCAAATCTTTAGCAGATCTCGAAAGTATGTCAAATTGGAAAATTTTTAAATTGGATGTTTTAATTAAAATAAACATTTCCTAACCTTAAATCAAATTCTAAATGTGTTAGGAGACGTAAATTTTATGTTATATGGGTGGGGGGTTTAAGAAAGGGCAATAATTTCAAAATCTATCATCATGAATAATAATTACATTTCTAACACATATAACAATTTTCTTTTAGCAAATTGTCAATTAATATAAAATGATAAAACATATAGGTAAATTAAAAAATTAATTTATACATTGTATATATATCTAGTTCCTAGAGTATTTTTGCCTATTTTTATTGGCATTTTCTTTATTTCTTTCCTTCCTTCCATCCTTCTTATTATCAAACTTTATAAGTAAATAATCAAAAGGGTCAAATCGCTTAGTGAAAGAACGCTTTAATCTAGGTATGGCTTTATCTTTATGGAAAGATAATCATGGATTTAAATATATAAATATTTCTAAAATCCAAAGGTTGGTCCGAATATATATTCTTTGCTTGCTATATCTTATAACCGCCTATTTATAGAAGTAAGAAAAAATAGAATAAACTCTTTGATGCCCAGATACCTTGAATTATTTAAGACTGCATATCTTTTTATTTAATTGAAATTCATTATTATAATTTCATTTCTAGTTCAAAAAAATCTTCCGGAAATCATGAATTATGAATCTAAAGGTGAGAGATTATTATAATTTTTAAGATCTTTCATTTGTCGGCATCATTAATTTCATTCAGTATTATTATATTTGCTCTTTCCAATTCTTATTCCGTTAAAAGGAACATATAATCCCTCTAGATCTGATAAGACAATTCAATAAAGAATAAAATTCAAATTTATTTCAACTTTAACATCATAAACATAACGTCCTTGCGTTACATTATTGCAACGGTAATAATGCATCTGTAAACTTTAATTTTTTTAAAAATAATTTTTAAATAAATTATTACATCTCAAAATAGAGTTTATAATGACTTGTGATTTTATAGGAATATATTTATAAACATCCTTCCTTTACAATGTGACCAAACTTGTAAAAAGAATATTATAAGTTGTTTGAGATAAAAAAAAAGATAAGAAGACCTAATTAGTATGCATTAATGCATCGCGCGTTCTTAATAGGTTAAGTTATATTACATATAATTATTCATATACATAAATTATGCCTAATATTAAATAAATTTGATTGAAATTAGCTAATTTGTCAATATAGTAGTTATTTAGTTTTTGCTATAATATATTGCTTATTTTTATTTATTACCTACATCAACTGATTTAAAATTGACAAAAAGTGATAAAAATATATAATTTTTGGTAGATTCCGATCAAATATGTAATAACTCACCAAAATACACAAATAAATTCTCTAGTTACGGATCTAAGGAACATAAAAATTACGACCTTGAAATGGATTTTGGTAAATGTATACAAAATATATAAAAACCTCGATTAAAATAATCCACTCTCTCACGAATGGGTCTGTTAACTCCTCTATCTAATATGATAAGAAATATTTTAACTTATTTTAGTAGTCGCAAAAAAGAAAGCCAAATATGAAAATACCAAGCATGCTTGGTTATTAGAAATAAATGTCCTTATTATAATAGCGAATATAAACAGAATTATCATGATATATCATTATAAAAAAAAGAAACAGGGAAATTCTTACTATTTGTCTCAGTTTTAATTTGTTAAAATTTATGTACCCTGGTTTAATCATCTAAACGGAAAAATGCGATTTTTTTTGGCCAATAGGGTGAAAAATGCCAGTGAAATCAAAATATTTGGATATAGATCTAAACTATTTTTATCATACACTCAAATCATAATTATCTTTATTTGAAATTTAAATTTTACTCTACAATCATTCATATTCTTTAATAGTTATTAAATTTTCTAAAGTTTATAGTGTTTCCTTTAGCCCCTGGTCTCTCGGTGTAATACCTTCAACTATTATTTATTTGCTCGCGATTAAATCCAAATTCTTAACCACTTTATTTTGTCAAAAACGAAATCATGTCCAGCCACTTCTTTCCTAAGCATTCCAATTTTGGCAGTGAACCCCATTTTTTAAAAATGCTTATGACCCATCCGCCTGCTGTTTTAAAATAATATTAATTATACCTATTATGTTTTTATATAAAAAAATTTATTTTAAACTTCCAAAATATACAATATTTTAGAAATATTTAATTAAATTAAGCCTTTTCTAGCTTGTCCTGAATATCTGAGGACCTATTTTAACCCAATCTATCTATCCATCAGTCTAATATAGATAAGCTACCAAGGGGAGACGAAATTAAAACTTAAAGGTACTTATAGGATGTCACCACATTTATATACAAATAACTTTTATACCTGCAATCCAAATTTGAAATGTGTTTAATAACACCTGATATTATCAGAATAGTATAAATAATCTTCTTAAACATATTCGCAATAAAATAGTAGTTTTTTTTTGAAATTTTTTTTAAAAATTTTTTATTACCAAACCAATATTATTAATTGCGTTTTTTTTCTTCTCTTCTTCCTTTTAAAAATGAAATAATATTTTAATATTCAATATTTAAAATTGTATTTTACACTTTATATTATTTTATTAATTGGTAATAAATAATAATAATAAAATATAGAAATGGCATCAAACATTAGTTGGTTATGTTATTGTTAAAATTATATTACATCGAATAGAATTAGATAATGAGAAAATAAAATACCTTATGAGTAAAATTGTATAAAACTTAAAGGAGAGGCGGATTAGACCAAGCTGGCAAGGAAAGATGGCTAGGAAATAGCATGGTAAAAAAAAATGCGCAATGTTCGACCCTGCTCCTTTAGAAAAAAAAATATATTTGCCTGATTTTTAAGCTTTAAAAATTTGTAAAATTCTGTCATTATCCGTCAAAAATTTTATGCACAAGTTTTCCTGCCCTGCCCGATAATCTTTTTCCGGCCCTGGTCGCGGGTCGAACTTCTAGTAATAAAGAAATCCAATTTAAAATTCGCTTATTCAACCTTTGCCGGCTTTTATGATTAAAAATCACTAATCCTATAAATCTTACAATTAAAATATATACTAGGTTGTAACCTTTGCTCGCATTTAGCGTTCAAAACTTAAGTTCCCATGAGAAAATTTATATAGACATTGCAAATAAAAACAGAAGCCTATCACTGGATTATAAAATATAACAAATGTTTTACAGTTATTAGTATATTTATATTTGCCGCTATTTTCTATGGGCTTATTAAATAATATATTTATATTCATAAAATTTATTCTGAAAGAAATTTATTTATTTTTACAGGTTAAGGTTAGTTGTTTTCGGACTAAAGCTGAACAAGTCGAACAGGACTGAATGTTCCATTTATACAATTACCGTTTTTAGTTCATGTTTTTCCCTGTGATTTCTCCAATTTTTTTAATGTTATTGAATTCTAATAAAAAGTTCTTATTTCAATTGCAAAATTCATTTCCTATGTTTTGTGTTGGTGTTTTTTTTATCATTTTTAAATGTATATTATTTATTTAACTACACATTCCCTCTATCCCGTTAAAGTTTCATTTTAAAATATATATTTGAAATTGGATACAATAAAAAAAAATTTAATTATCACACCATTTCGGATATCATATAGAACTAATATCTATTATTATATAATAGTATTTATTTAATGATTTAATTATATTACATGAACCATTGGCTTAACTAAACGAGGGCAACAGACCACCTCCCCAATTGAGAATTATAAAGAGTTTCGTATCTTATCTTCTTTCAATATTCAGGAATAAAAGGAGCATTATTTAAAAAAAAAAATAAGAAGTGTAAAACCTTAGAATAGTTTTATTTTATAAAAAATATGTTTAACGACTAAATGTAATATAAAAGAGCTTAAGTTCATCGAATGCGGGGGAGTGGGTATCTAAAATATTATCTTACTGGAGAATTCTAGATGCGCATGGACTATGTTATATTATTCATGATTATGTTAAATTATTAATCTTATATTATATAGAGCTACAATATATAATCTCAATCAGTAATGGTATCTATTAATTTTAAACTCTTAGACAACTTTAAATTTGGAGAGAGAAAAAATTATAGATCTACACTCCTATCCTAGTAAATGGTAAAAAAAATTACAAACCTGGAACTGACCCCCCCCCCCCCCCCCCAAAAAAAAATATAATTTTTTACGAAAACTGATTCGAGAGAAACTTTTAAAAAAGATAAAATTAATTTTGAATTATTTAAATTTGATTAGTTGAAAAATTTGAAAATGGGATTTAACATTCATTCGCTGCTCATATTGGCAAGTGTTGTTAAGAGCTAATTTTAAAAGTAGCGCGTTATCGATATCTTTATTTTACAAATAGCACGCTATCGCTACCTCTATCTTACAAATAATACGTTATAGCTACCGCTATTTAATAAAAAAATATCGTTCTATAGCTACCGCTTTTTTCATTTGCTGCTCATATTGGCAATTTCCAGTGTTATTAAAAGCTAAATTTAAAAATAGCTGGCTATCTCTAACGCTATTTTAGAATTTTTTAAAAAATAATTTTCACACATCTATTTCCACAAATAAAAAATATGGCTAAAATTTAAATATATACATAATTTATTTATTTTTTATTGAACTCAATAATAATAGCATTTCTATATTGTGATCCCCAACCAAGTCTAGAGCACCGATCAGATAGTATAATATACTAAATAATCATTGAACACTAGCACTTGAGGAATGCAGTATAATTTTATATATACATATTTTTTATATTAGAAAAATCATCAAAAATATTTATTTGAGCATATTTAGATTTAAAAAAATACATCTAAAAGATTTTCAATAGTATTATTTATTTCAAAAATATCATCAATAGTAAGTGGGGTCTTTGATCTGGCTAGGATCATTCTAAAATCATAATAGTAATAATTAAAATAAAATTTATATAGGGAATAAGGGTCATATATGGCCATGTTTGATGACTTGCCAGGCCAACACCCTTCAACCTTTTATCCTCAAAATTGGTTAAAATGGAAATTGAACCAAGTTTAGTATGTTTTGATAAAATTTAAAAATATATAAATAGATGAGTGGTTAATTTTAAACATGTTTAACATCCTGATAACAATTTATAAAATATTATCATTAAATAGATGAGTCTGAAAATAAAATGTAATGTTAATATTTAATAATTATTGTAATTTTTAATTTACTGTATAATTCTTGAATATCTTATAGCCAGTTGAAACATAAACCATGTTTGGACTGGGCCTGAAAATCAACTTTCATATAAACTCATTTAGTTCAAAAAATATTATAGATCCAGCTTTAATTCAAATTTTATTTTACATATCAAGAATTGGGCTACACATTGATTATTTGATTATAAATTTGTTTAATATATTATTTTTTTAAATACGTTGAAGCTACTAGTCTTGTTTGACAAAAAAATCTTCCGGGTCATCTTACAATGAAATTTACAATCTGTGTTAATCTCTTTTTTTTTGGAGAATATTTTGCGAATTCAGAAAGAGGAAATTCCAATCATCATTTTCAAGGGAAATTATTTGTCGATATGACCTTTACTAAAAATTATCTTCGATATAAATATCTATCGTCGGCATTTAAAATGTTAAATTATTTTGAAAACGAGATTTATAATGCATATTTTTAAATATCAATTTAAATTTAAAAAATAAGTGTAAAGATTATGAATTAAGAAATAATTATTCTAATAATTTTATTTATTTATTATATATAATTAAAAGTAGCCAAGTAGCCCGTTTTCAAAATTAATGGTACCGCTACCGCTATTTTTTTTAAGAGTAGAGCGCTACTTTAACAACACTGGCAATTTCCTTGTAAAAAACTTTATAAAATACTGCCAAAATTATGTAGAAGGAAGTAAACTTTAAAATAATCATCATTTAAATCAAGGCCTTAAAATTTCCACCTCTGCAGTTATTAGAAAAAGGGAAAATATTAGTAGAATAATCTTACTACGATAACCTACTACCCATGAAGCATTGGGAAATTTTTCTTTAACTGTTTATCTACAACTCAAATGTGTTCCTATCTATTTTTAAAATTAATGGGTTTCTTCATCGACTTTCACAGGATAATTTTTCTAATTATTGTCAAAAAAATGATTTTAAATTTGAAAGTGGTCAGTCTTCCCCTTACTCTTAGTAATTACTCAATATACCATGTTTCTTCAAAATTTACAAAATAAAGAATCAATTTTGAATTTCCCGTTCTAATTTTTGTTTTGTTAAAAGTATATTTTTCAATTAACTCCGGAGCTATCAGTTTTATTTTTCATTAAAATAACTTTCAAAATTGTTAATTTATAAAAAAAAAATGATGATGAAGTCGATAAATATAACCAAAGATTTAATATCAAAAAAAAAACTCGTTTAATCGTTTCGTTCGTTATTAATAAAATGATTAAAAATTGTTTTAGTATAATATTTTTTTTTTCAATAAAAATTGTACGACACATTATATAATTTAGAGTAAGAAGGGAGAAAAATTTAATAATTTTTGAGATTAATTCTGTAATAGAAAAGGGTAAATTGTATATAATTTATTTTTACTACAATTTTAAAAAGTAAAAGGAATTCGATTCATGGCGTTGGACATTATTTAGGGGAAAAATTTAAGTTGAAATTTACATTTTCTCTCGATACAAAGAAATATCGGACGGTGGTAGAGTTACTGTGCTAACCCTTTTGACTTTAGCCCTAACCTCATCCTAGGCAATTCTATCGCGAATGGAAGGTGTGAATGAGGGATATGACGGAAAGACATTGAAATTGGGGGGATGGGGAGGCGGGTAAGAGAGTTGTGAAAATGCTCATGTCATTAAAATAAAAAGAAAGTTGTGGGAGTTGAGGGGTATACAAATGTAAAGGATATAAGGGATATGCTAGTTTAAATTTTTTGGTTTTCATATGAGGATATGGTTTCAAAAAAGCTCCGTTATTAACATGCTTTAACTTAGTCTATACTTCTTCATTCATATCATTAACCATCTAAGCTACAGTTGTCACTCAAGGAATACATTTTTTTATGTTATGATAATTTAGCTGTATACTTTAAATAGATGTTAGCTTTAGGCGTAGATTTGATTTAAGATAACTAGACTAAACAGAGATAGAAATAATTTTACATCTATACTAGCCATTTCGGGTTCTCTCTAGAATAATTTAAGAACAATGTTATAGATTTTTTAAAAAATGCTTATATCCTTAAAAGTTAATCAAGGTGAATATATGATAAAATCTATCAATATACATAATAAATAGTATACAAACAGAAGAGAACAAATAAAATATTATTATAAAAAATCATATAACCTAATTTTTCCTCAATTTATGTATTGGATATTTTAAATTACAAATAATAATAAGAGATATTTTTGCAAAAAATTAAACTTTTATCGGTCTCGTGTGAATAATTTTAAATTTTTTTAAAAAAAAATACTTATTAAAATATTAATGTTTTACTTTTATTATTTATGATCAAATCCTAAACCCAATCTATTAAAATAGTAATTAAGTTCTTTTTTTAAAAAAAAATTATTATTTGTTATACAATATGATATAATTAATTTAATTGATTATCATTAATTGTATTTGATAATTTAAATGTAACGAAAGTAAAAAATAATTATAACTAGTGGGCTGCTTATAAATAATCGATTGTTGTAACTGTGTTTTTAAAATGAATAGATAAATTAAATTAGGACAAACAATGTCAGCAAAGATGTTTTAGAGTTTAGGTGTGAAAAAGAAATATTTTTTTTTAGTAAATCTAATTTGCATAAATATGGAAAGCATTTGAAAGAGGTGGGGGTATGCAAAGAAAAACAAGAATGGACTTAGAAAATTATACATTTTAATTGGGTTTTAAAATAAACCACAAATTTGTCAAAAATGAAAATCTAAAAATGAGAAAAAATATAATTGTTTCGCGTTTTATTTTATTTTGTAAGAGTAGATAGGGTGAAATTAATTTTAAGAAGGAATTACCGAATACGCTTCCTTGAAAAGAATTTGTATTTGATTATAATTAATATCTAATTAATTCTTCAAGATTACTGAGATTAGTGATTAAATAGGAATTACAAATAATCATGCATTTGTTTCGATAAATAGGGATTGGCAGAAACGATTTCTTTTTTAAATGTTGAATCTTATAATATAATAATAAAGCTAAAACAATGTTCTAAAAATAGGTTTTTTGACCAAAGGCATAATAAATATATAATCTGGTTTATTTTACTAAAAAAATTATAAATAAAGTTAATAATATAATTATATTGAAATTATCGGGTATTCTACTAAAATAAGTATTTAATACAAAAAAAACAATATGCAGATAGAGATTTAGTGTATCTCTATATCGAAATACCATTATAAAAATATTTATCATCGTTAAAACTAAAATAAAAATAGGCCCAGGTGATAAATCTAACAAAGGTGTTATATTGTAGGAAAACTTTCGATCATATTTAACCGCTCTCTAGAATTATAAGTTTTATCTTATTTATTGGATTAGGATAAATTGAGGAAAAAATTATAGTTTTTGAAATAATAACTCTACTTAAAGATGGAAAATCATAGCCAAAATTTACTTAGGAATTGGGCATAGAGGCGAACAACTCATCTGTGTCTAAATATCTATCGTGCTTCCAAATTTCTCCTTCACTTTTTGACAGATCTAGGCCTTAGAGTTTGTTTTCCACGATAGGCATCTAGCCGCTAATTTAGCAATTTATTTATTTTTTAGATTAATAATTTTTCATTAAAGTTGATAACTTGCACTGGATTAGGTTTATGAAGTATTATGCGCAACTTATTTAACAGAATTAAATATTTTTCGAGTTCACCTCTTTACTCTCTCTTAGAAGTCTTCCCACCTACATATACAATACTATCTCCCAAAAATATACTTTCATATCTCGAAAAATATTTACACTTTACTCCACGTAGCTGATCACCCTCCTGTCTATCAATTCTATTTCCCGAAATATCAGACTTGGGCAGGTCCTCAGGAAAAAAAGAATATAGATCAGCGTCTACATGACAGGATTTTCACTGGAAGCAAACCCCCTTCAAAAACCTTTGCCTACCCCCCTAAAAAATCCCCGCCGCCTTCGGCGGCGATGTCTCTTTATCATTATTTTCACTTATTTATTTATTGATACTCTTTTCAAAGAATTTATAAAGGATAACTTAAATTAATCTATCTCTACTACCAACTAACGATATTTTGTGAATATAAAGAATTTATTTTTTAGATAATAAATTTAATTAAAACCTCCATTATTTACAATAAATTAATTATTATGGCATTATGAGCTTGCTGAAATATCTAAACCTTTTAAATTATATTTAAAAGGATCGTTTATTTGGAAAACAATGGGTATGATTGTTTGCAATATATAGATTTGGTTGATGAATTGTTTATAATAAAAGTATTAATTTTTACAGCAATAAATTTTGTCCTATTTCATCTCAAAATTTAATAGATAACCCCCCCCCCCCCCCCCCCCAAAAAAAAAATTATTTTTATCCTACCCCCATTAAAGCATCTTACCTTCTACCCCCTCAAAAAAAATAGGATGCAAACTGTTCCTACCCCTCCCGCTCATGTAGACGCTGATCTAGATATATAAAAGAATGGATCTTAGATACTAATACATCTTATTCAAAATATTCAAAAGAGAATATCTTATATAAAAGATACTTTTATAAAATTATCATTACCAATTAAATTATAATAGTTTATAAAATACAATTTCTATTATTTATTGGTAAAGAACATAACATGCGCATATAATAAGGATAAATATTTACAATAATTAATAAAATATTTAATGACGAGTTAATTATAATAAACAGGCATTTTAATATTAGTTTCAGCCCATTCATAGCATAAACAGATAAGAAGACAGTATTTTTAATGGGAGTTTAAATATTATTAATTTGCAAAAGAGTTTTAGAATAGATTGAAATCATTATTTTTAAGATAATCAATTTTTCAGATAATTTATCATTAAGCCTTTTCCGTTTCGGCGTATTTAACACTGAACCTTTCAAGCTGAAGAAGGTACTGAGGTATTATATTTAAAAAAAATTCCTTAATGGAGGGAAAATAATTAAGCATATCTAATGTATTTCAACGGTCTTTAATATAATTTAAGATCTCCAGCTCAATATTTGTGATTATTTTTATGTGCCCTCGATGGTTAAATCTTCCAACTAAACTAACCAATGTATTTTTATTGTCAGTTAAAAATAAGAGTAAAGAACCATGTTTATATTTGCTTCCATTTTTTCCAATTATTTTTTACATCCTACTCAAATAATATATATTCAATTTTATATAAGGAAGAAAATAAGAAAAGAAAGAAGGGAATACACTATCATATAAGGGATGGAAGAATTTAGAAAATTTATTTTGTTTCTGATATAATAGTTTTTCTATTTTTTTGGTTGATAGATTCTGAAAATATAACTACTATATGTTTTAGAATTGTGTCTTTAAATTCTTATGTATTAATAAATGGGGGGGGGGGGTTTGCATGAATCGCCATGCTTGATTAGTGGCCATCGCTATTATTTTGATTCATGAATGGTCAATTTGTGTATATTTATGGTATATATCTTAACTAAGTTCACTCATTAAATAAAGCAATCCAACAAAGAATATAGCCTTGATTTATTATATAAAAATTTGTCTATGTTATACATGTAATAATATTTCATTTAAAGTTTGTGATGTTCATGACATATTCATTTTCTAATGTAATGACTTTTTATTTTTATCAATCAAATTGCCACTGAGGTATGTAATATAATTTTTTTTCTAGGGGTTATATAGGTAAATTTATTATGATAACAAAAAATATTCACTCTAATCCTTTTATATTTAAAAATTTGACCATGATGACTTCATAAAATGGCAGCAAAGATTGATCTACCGAATATATGTTATGTGAGTATTTCATTTTATTAAGCTTAAGCTTGTGATAAAATTAATCTTTGTTGTTTAACTAAAAGGTTGAATGAGAAGTGCAATCAACTGAGATCCATTCATGCCCGTAATATTTATCGTTGGATTGTAAAAGTTGTATTGTTTTAAAATTTTTTTGATATATTTAGAGTTCATGTATCCAAACTAAACCTAGCCTTTAGACAAATATTAACCTGTATAAAAATAAAATATAAAAATTTTTCTTCCTCTTTTATTTATTTAAAAAAATAAGCATTTTTTTTATTTACTTACCCAAAGCTTATTATTTAACATAAACATAATACATCACATGATTCTCTTTATTTAAAAAAATAAGCAATTTTATATTTGGTTCTAAATGTTTATATTTTAATATAATAAAAAAATTCCACCAAAAATATATCCTACCATGATTTTTTTTCTTTCATTTATTTAAAAAAAACAATATAAAATTTACTTCTTTCATATATATTTATTTTAACGTGGTGAAAATAATATTTATTTTTTGAAAGTAGTAAATATAATAGTAAATTATTAATGTAGCGTAAAGTGTATTAATTTTTTTTAACATAGCAAAAATAAGAAGAGATTATAATAATAAATGATGCTATGAGTGCTAGGTAATTAACCTTACCCAATATTATATTTATCATAAATATATATACAATCATTAATATATATATAATCATTATAATCATATCTAATTGACGAATATAATTCATTATGTAAAAATATTATATTATTACTACATTATTTTATTAAGATATGTTTTGATTATAAAATATTTAACTAAATTCCTAAATCTTGCCGAAAAATTTATATTGCTATTTGCAAATAAAATATGAATTTGTGAAACTAAAAGTAATGTTATTTATCGATTCTATATAAAGTTCTCATTCTCCTCGTGTTTAAATATTCTCCAATTTGCTCATATGTTTAAATAAACATGGAAATTGAGGAAAACTTAGGAGTTATATGCGGAGACTCTAGTTTGTTATCTGTCCCATCCAATGATATTGCAACTGAACCATATTTACAACAAGCATCTCAAATAACCGATCCAAATAAATTAGAATCTTTAATTAGCCAAATAACAGCTACTCCGAATATATATGTTTTTTCTGAATTTTTAGATATAGAAACCATAAAATCCCTCGAAAAAACTTCATCCTATTACAAACTTTTGGAATTGTTTGCCTTTGGAACTATCAAAGATTATTATGGTATTTATTTTATATTTAATCTTTTAACATGTATATTAGATCAAAAAGTCACAAAAAATTTACCTGAATTAAATCCACCTCAGATTAAAAAACTTAAATATTTAACTGTTATATCCTTAGCTTATTCTCATAAAGTTTATTTTTATTATATAACATTTAATTCATAATATTCAATAGAATATTCCATATAAAATTATCCAAGATGAATTAAATATTTCTTCAATTAGAGAATTGGAAGATTTATTAATTGAAATTATATATACTGGTTTAATTGTTGGAAAAATAGATCAAAAATCTCAACAATTATGTATTGAATATGCCATAAGTAGGGATATCAAACAAAATGAAATTCCTATTCTCATACATAATTTACAAAAATGGTAAATTTTTATTATTTGTAAAATTAATCTATCAATGACTTCTTAATTTTATAAAGGTATGAAAATAATGAAACCTTATTACATTCGATAGAAAGTGAGATGCAGAATGCTAATTCAAAAAAGAAAGAAGCTATTCTAAATTTAGAATTAATCAACCGAAAAGTAATATTATATTTAAACTTAAAATTTACTAGATTATATGAAATGTTTTATAATATGTATGTAATAAGTTATTTTTAAAATCAGATTAAAATATAGGATATGTTATGTTTTTTCCTCCTTTAATGGATTTTTACTCTCTCCTGTTTTAATGGTTTTTTTAAAATTATTATTACAAATGGATGTTATTCAATTATCTTGATTTAAGATGGATATTAGCAGGGGTGGACTGGCGACACTACGGCCTTGTGGGCATTTTATAGCGGCCTAGGCCTTTGCCCGGTCTTCGACCGGGTTATCTTAAATGGCTTCTTTGATTTACATGATTTTTATTACTTCATTTTTTGAAAATAAGGTCAAACGTTTTACATTTTTAGTAAAAAAAAGAATAATATTATACGATAATCATATATTTTATTTTAAAAAAATGCACATCTAAAATCATATTCATTGAAAATATATATTTTATATTAGATTTACAACAATATTGCTCTATATAATCAAATCATACATCACATGTTAAATATAAAAAAAATGCATTCTCAATATATTAAATCAATTAATTATAAATATAAAATTATTGCAGTTATACAATATTACAGAGAATAAAATTGCTGCACTTTTATAAAATCAGGTACCGATAATATTGCAAATGATATTAATAAGATTCTAATAGAAGAATTAAGAAAATATATAATTTTTACATTGATAAATCTCTCATTAACCTTGAACCTTTGCACAAATATACAGGAATTCTAGTTCAATCTATGCTAATAGTTCTCGTTCAACTGACATCATTAAAAACACTTCTAATTTTCTTGGTCAATATTAGCTCTCAGCTTATTTTTAATTTATTAAATATTTTCTCTCAATTAACCTGCGTAAATGACAAAGTTAAAATGTATTCATATGCCAAAAATAAATTAATGTCACTCTCTTGTATGCATGTTGTATCTTTTAAGAATTTCATACACACATATTAAACACTTGTTTCATTTATTATCACACTCTGATTTATTATCATATTGTAATATTCCATCTTCTTCATTTGACTCCTCACTTGAACATGCGATATCATCGTCCATTTCATTTAATTCTGCCACCAAATCTTTGAATACACTGGCAAATGAACATAATTCATTATGAAATTTAACACTCAATATATATGCCAATTGTGCCGGTTTTTCCAAGGCTTTTCAGAAATACCTTTACTATTTATTTCATTAAAATGTCTTGGATGCAAATATTGCACATTCAAGATAAGCTCTCAATTCGTAGAAAGTAGTTGACAAGCTGTTTATAATTTGATCAATTATAGGACAAAATAGTTCGAACCTATAAAGGTCAATCGATTCTTGAGGACGTTCATCTTGGCATTAGTCACTATATATTCTCTTCGCTCGTCCTATTCGATCTTTTTACAGAGCATTTTGTACTCAGATACTCTCCGGGAGTTATAAATATGAAAATATTTTATTTAAATTAGCAGCCATTTTATTGCTTTAGAATCGATGTAATAATCGATAATACAGAAGATTTAGCATCTTCTTTCATTTTCCATGCTCACAAAGTACCTAATTTTTAGTTTGAAGATATGACAGTGGCCCCATTATTTAAAAAAATTTTCAAATATATTATACCTGTACTTAGAGTCTTAAATTTACATAAATTATCAAGTTTTTGTCTCAAATTATTTATTATCAATTATAAATTGAAGTGCCTTTATCGTTATTGGGAGCAAGCTCACTTTACCATATATCCATCTAAGGACTTTTTCACGTGCCCACCACCTTATCTCACCTATTTTTTGCAGCCTTCTCATCATTATTTTGGCCAGATGAATAATTCTGTTTCACCCAAGCATCCCATATTTATCTGATTCACCGATCTGGATTTTATTTGATTTCAATGAATTAAGAATAAGAAATGTTGGATATATTATTTCTACAATAAATCAATGTATAAAAATATAATATAATAAATTAATCAAAACTTAGGTTTCACTCTACTCAAACGGAAGCGTTTTCAATTCATTTGAAAAAAAAACAAAGAAAAGAACGTGGGAATGATGTGTAGCATCAAGCGACGTTATTGATATATTATGCATTAAAATATAGTAAACGACATAACAATTCTCAAGTGTGATATTCAAATCATAGCGATATCATTAAAAATAAATAAATGATAAGAGAAAATAATGTGAACATAATAATATTTTTTTTCTAATCGGCCTCTATTTTGATATTTTCCTCTGATCGGCCTCAAAAATCGACATTTTCTCGCGGCCTCGTGGGGAAAATGCCCACTGGGTCTTATGGCCAGTCCACCTATTAGTTGGCTAATTAAATCAATGATTTTTTTAAATCAAAAAATTATGATTTAAATAAAGTTTTTTTGCTTGTATTTTAAATTTATTTGTTTTTAATTTGTCACAGCTTATTATAATTGACATATAGATTTTTAATTAATTGCCAATTTTATAATTTATTTTATGTTTGGTTAATTTGGAAGTATATTCTGCATACACATCTTAGGTTTTATATCTGTGATAAAACCCTTCCTGGACAAATATGTGTCATCTAATCTTTATAAAATAAACATAATTTTACTCATTATTTAATGTGTATAAATCTCATTTATAATACAAGGGAAAGATGAATGATAATATGAAATTAACATTAAATGGATTATCTAATCATAAAAGATTTGTTTGATGGAAAAAAATTATTTTGTTTTAATTTGATAATTATTAGATCCAGTCCCAAACTAAGCTAGTTAAAGCCAACATTGCCAGAAGTGTTAAACAACATAATCAAAGCACGTCATCCAAATCATCTCACCACTCTCAAGGCTTAACAACTCCCAGAAAGAACCAACACGATTTTATGATTAACAATCCCCTTGCCAAAGTAAATTCTACTGGGATTACCTCCATTAATAATAGTCATTACAATGATGACAACGGGAATTTATTGTTCAATTATGAACTTAACAACTCCAACAATGTCAATCAAAATTTAACTGCCAGCAATTCCCTCCCATTTGGATCTAATCATAGCCCAAGATCGACAGCTGGATCCGTTAACTCCTTCACTGGTTATTTTTTTTATATTTCAAATATGTCATATAATTTAATATACTTCCACTTCTCGAGGGGTCAATGATTTAGAAGTTTAAAAGGGAGAAAACTTTAAAACTAAAAAAAATTTCTAAAATTATAAGTTTTCTTCTAAAATATAAATTTAATGACTTAAAAAAATTCCATTAATAAATATAAAATGTCCAAATCATAGAAGATAACATGATAGTAGACCAAATACCAGAAGATTTTATAGAAGATTTATATGATACTACCAACGATAACGAAGCCAGTAATTCTATGCCCTCCACTTCCACCGATTACATTAGCAACTTGATCTCTTTCAACCCAATCAAGGATTCCTTGAATCCTTCCAAAACTAATCGCCCAACTCTTACCTCATCCAATAACAACAGTAATTCAACGATAACCTCATCTAACGGCTCTTCCAATATCGTAAACGAGAACGGAAATCTCGGTCCTTTATCTACCACCATTCAAAATTCAGCTGTTAACGCGCCTTCGAATAGTAACAAGAAGCAAAACAAGTCGAAAACTACTGGGTAAAATTTTTTAAATAAAATTATCTATTCAAATATATAGCTTAATTTGAGATTTTATATGATAAAATTGAAAGTAAAAAAAGAGTAATAAAATAATTTGGATCGATAAAACCACTTTTTAAAATCAGAAATACACGATGCCAAGTAGGGACCCACCAAGATCCAACTTTTCTGATCCAAAAAAATAAAGAAGTTGTTTTTTTAATGAAACTGTATGTTAAAATTCTAAAATAATATTTTGGGACATGTTTTTATGTTTTAAAAAAAGCTTTTGCTACTTTTTCGACTAAGTTCCAAATGTTTGTGAATCGATAATTTCGATATTTTGAACACAGCCTTATAAGAAATTTAATCTAAGAATGAAAAAAATTTAAAAGTGATTATACAATCAAGCCGTGATTTATTGATATCACTGATTAAATTCGAAATTGTAACTAATTTCAAACCTTAAAAAAATTACAATTTCTCGACCCAACTCACGGATAGGGTGGGTTAGGTCGAGTTTTGCAGATTGCTAGTGCCAAGAGCTGATATTATGATAATTTAAAACCAACCCAAAATAAATATAAAATTTAAATTCTTATTTAATAATTTATTTTATTAAAAATATTTTATTAATTCTTTATACAACCTTTTATTCCCGATACCCAGCATATTTGATAAAGAATATAAAATCATTAAATAACTACTGGGAAAGATGAATTTAATGTAATCTTAGAGTTTATTTTATATCAACCATACAATAATAAATTGTTCTAAAAAGACTGGAAAAATTACAATTTATTTATTTCTCAAGGAATTATAGGTGATATATAGGATCCAAGATCAAATTGTAAATCGGAGAAATATATTAAAATTTTATCGGGTTCTCTTTATCCTGTCTCGTTAAAAAAAATTTGTGAATATTTTGACCATCACATTTATGATATTTATATTAAAAATTTTCCCAATGTCAATTAAGGGATATTATATCTCGTCTATGGTTATCTGTTTATATTATAACAAGAATTGCCCAGCATCTCACGAAATTTAATTATGTACAAATTGCCCAGCCCATTCAAATTTTGTCGGGTTTTCCCTATTATAATGTTTTTTTAAAATTTACCCGGCCCGGGCACCGAACTTTCGAACTGGTCGGGTTTTTGCAGAACTCTGATGCATGCTAATATATTTTATACTTTTAAAAAAAAATAAACCTTTAGAATTAGAGGAAGTGCCGCAAAACTGTTCCACAAGTAGTGAAAGGGGAAGAAAATAAACGAATTCAAAACATTTCAACTCACATGCTTTCTTATTATTTTGTTATTGTGGAGTGGGAAAATTAATTTGATTTACTGATGAATAAATAAAATTTGATTTTATATTGTATAATAAAGCTTAATATTTTTTTTAAAGAGTTTGTTAATAATAATAAAAGAAAGTCATTTCTTACATATTACAGATAAGATGTTAGAAAAAAATATATCCATAGATACAATATCTTCACTTACATATAATCACTAGTCACTATAGTTGGGTAAGTACCAGAGTTGTTAAGATACTTTTTAAATAGATCTAGATACAGATACATAGTCTCAAAAGTTATCTAGATACAGATACAGCGTCTAAAAAGTTATCAAGATACAGATACAATTTTAAATGTATCTGTATACAGATACATTTTTTATTATGCTCTTATAGGTTTGCATAAACCTAAATTAATATTATATTGTGAAAATTCATGAAATGAGCTAAAAAATTTATTGACGCGATATTACATTTATCAGAATATAACTAAAATAATGATTTTAATATAATATATGATTAAATAATTATAAATAATTATTAGATTTCAGTAATAAAACATTTTTCAAAAAATTTTTGATCATTTAGGCATCCTCGTTTATCTGTAAAGACATTTTTAGCAACACTAAATAGTCTTTCCACAGGGGCGCTTGAAGGAATTGTAGTGTATTTAATAAATAACAATTTTATATCAGGGTATTCTTTAAAAATGCTAAAATCTCTACATTCATTTTTGAAAAAATTATTTAAAATTTGTTGATTATCAAAATTTAAATCATTATTAGAAATTATATCTGCTGTAGGGTACTGAAAAAAATCTGAAATTAAATTATTTGTTTTTTTTGGCAGGTTATTTGCTTGCAGTCAGTTGATGACTTTGATAATTCACAACTAATCTTTGTATTAATTGTTTTCTTTTATTAAGATTTTCTTCCATTTGCAACCATGTCCAATCAAGTTTAAAAAAAGGGTGGAGCATGGTTGCTATAATATTATCATCTTCAAATAAGGTCACAATAAACCTAGAATTATTAAATATTTTAATTTATTATATTAATTTACCTATCTATAATCCCTTTAAGTAAGGCATCTAAGAGTGGTAAACAGAATCTCAGGTTCATTTCTTTAAAATTCTTTAATTTGATAATAAGTTGTGAAATAGTTGCACAGTAATAAGCTGTGTACATATACTTATCTCCCTGCAAAATATCAAGGGAATTAGCTATTGGCTTCATTAGCTAAGTTAAAATAATGCTATATATATAAATATTATTTATAACTTACTAAACATATTCATGAATAAAATCACATTCATTAGGTAAAAACCTGAGTAGTTTTATTCCATCACATATCTTGTCTACTTTGTCAGATTTATCTTTTATAATTTCTGACATTAATTGTAAGGCATTATAGGTGGAGTTCCATCTAGTTATATTAGGACATATAAAATAACGACAATTATATTCCTTAATAATCTCAGATGAAATAGGAGACTTAATTTGCCTATTCCATATATTTTGGCATTTAAGTAGTGTTGTGCTATATATCTAATGAAGAAAATATTACTTATTTAATTAAAATTAGTTTTACCCTCTGATATTGTTTACACTGCATGGCTCTATTGGCATCCACAGTGGCTATAAGATTTAATGTGTGACTGGCACAACATTGGTGATGAGGTAAACTAAATGATTCTGATAATTCAGAATCCTGTGCAGTATTATAAAGATTTGATATAGAAATTGGTACAACTGCTTCATCTTCCAGATCATCAATTGATTCACTTGTATTATTTTCAATTGGCTTGAAAACTCTTTTGTAAATTAAGTAATCAATCATATATTATGTTTTTATTTATTTATAATAAAATAAACCTAAAACATTTTTAAAAATTTTTGGCATTATCTGTAATGGTCTTTGAAATTTTATTTTGAATGCAATAATCATAGCTATATCTTGTAAATTTTTTGCTATTTTTTATCATATGTATGACTACCAGTCATTCTTTTACAAGCCAACGCTACATTTTTTCTTTCCAAACTTATTGGATTTATATAATGAGCGGTTACTCCTATATATGAACTAGAAATTAAAATTTATTAAAATTGATGAATTAATTATTCTTAATTAATTATTATACAAATTGAAATGTTAACTATACCGGCGATAGGCACTCCAACAATCTGCTGTTGTGCATATTAATGATAGTTCTATAAGACTTTTAATTATTTCTTTCTTTTCATTTTCCCATCTTTGGGAAATTCTACCAACAACTGTCTGTCGGCAAATTATATTTTTATGTGGAGCCAAAGTGTTGATCCATTTTTTAAAGTTTCAACAATTGAAAATGGCTGCATGCCATCTATAATAAAAGCAATAATTAAATCATCTAAAGTGCCTTGAGTTAAAGTCAAAGGTCTTTTAGCAAAAATATTGATGGAGGATGAGCCTTGTCCAGTATTTTCTTTGGTAGTTTTATTTTCCTTCCCCTTTTTTATTTTTGTTAACAAGGTTGGATGTTTTCTCTTAAAATTAAAATTAGAATTTTAAATATATAATATCTATACCCTTATGTGCTTCAAGATATTGCACGTTGAAGTCTTACTGACGGATATTTTTGTATTTTTAGGTAGACACGGCAAACATTTTACCATCAGAGAATTGTTTTTCTTTGTTTTGAGATATTATTTTAAAATATTCTCTATAAATTGGCCATGGTAAATCAAAGAACTTGTTGTTGCTTCCTCTTCTTCATCGATATAGATCTAAATAAATATATAAACTTAAAAATTTAGTTATAAAATAAAATTTACCATTTCCATATTGTAATATTAAAATTTGTATAGTTTTATTGATAAACTCGGACATAATATTTAAATAATGAATATTTATATATATTTTATATATAAGTTTTAATATTTTATGTATATATAATTCTTTATTATAATATTAATAAATATTAATATATAATATATATATATATTTATTTATTTCATAAGCTCATATGAAAAAATAAATTTTACAGTCAAATATTTTATTTATAATAAAAAAAGGGGTATATAAAATGTATCTGAAAAAGTATCTAAAAACGATTTTCAGATACCTCTAAAATAATATCTGGAAATACGAATATCTTTCTAAAATCTATCTAGATACAGATACTACATTTTTTATATCTAGATACAGTATCTAGATACTTGTATCTAGATACTTTAACAACTCTGGTAATTACTATATTTTTAGCTGTATTTGCCAATATTAGCCGGCTAAAAAAATATGATAAACTGAGTTTTTTTAGCAGAAACTATCACTTTGTCCTCTGGGGTTTTCTTAAATTTAAACGCCTTCATGTTAGCGGATTTTCTCAGCACGCATCCGTGGGTTGAGCTGACCTAACCGACATTTAGCCATTAACCAGCTATACTAGTCGTCACTAATCAGTATAAGGCTCATATTGATAATGTTTCAGGCAAATATTGTTATCTTATTAATTCTTTTATTTTCTCCTGTATCACACTTTAATATAAAATATTTTTATTTTGATTATCCTTCTGGATACCCTTACAGAATCCGTGAAAATAGAAAAGAATACTAAATTGATAGTTTAGGCTGGGAAAAAAATCCCCTTCTTTGTTAATAAGAAAATTAAAAAAATTTAACCTTTTTTAACAAAAAATTTCTAGCATTGTTTTAAGCAATTTTTTTGATTGTTAATCATTTTCAAAACATTTTATAAATAGTTATTTGATAAGAAAATTATTTTGGATTAAGAAGAATTATTTGTACCTATGCCTATAAACCCCCCCCCCCCCCCACAACTAATTTTTTGTATATCAATGCCAAAGACATTAGCATTAGCCTGTTCATAATATCTCTCAAAGGCACCACTTTTAAAATCGAAGAAACAGTAAATTAAATAAGATTATTTTTTTAGCGTCGCAAAAACAAAGCAGAAAATCGTTTAATAAGTAAGTTATAATATATTCTAGCTAAATAAATATGAGTTTATAGAACTTACTAGTGATGCAATATCATCCTATTAGATCCAAATTTTAAATACGGCCTAACTCAATATTTCAGCTAGAAAAATATTGCCTAAACTTCGAGAAATGGATGTCCAAACCTTTGTGCCATCTTTGAGCGTAATCTTCAGGCTTATGTAATATTTGGATAAAATATATAGCCATTTTTAAAAATTGGCTCAGATGGAGCTATTTTTCTAACCGTTTTTTTGGGCAATTTGCAAAACTCTTTTATGATTGTGATTTAATGTTTAGTTCCCGAAATCTTATAATTGGCAATGTTTTATTGGCGTTTTCATCTCTTAAAGTTATAAATAAGCTCTAAATATACTCTTCCTACGGCGAAAGTAATAATTCTGTAAAAGTTTTTTGAGTGATTAATAAGTTTCAATTTTCTTTGGTAAAAAAAAATTGGATTTGAGTTTTTTTATACTTAACTTAATTACCCTTACCAGAATTTTCGCTTAAAAAAAAGCAAATAAATTGATGCTTTTATTCTTTATGATTTTAGATTAAGATGAAAGATAATTTGGCATATTTTATGAAAATATAATCATTTTGGGATTAACATAGTTTGTATTAAATGGGCGCATATATAAATATAACAATTTAATTGAGCCAAAATTTTTAAAAATATCAAGTAATTAAATATTGTTTGTTATATGCGAAATAAATCGTAAATTGCGTTATAAATCCAGAAATAGTAAAAATTAAATTTTATTTTACCATTTTTATTATATAATAAAATTTAAATATGATTTAATTTTTTTCTGATTTTCCACCCGAGTAGATCCTGGTAGTCAAGAAGGCTACGCTGGGTTGTTTGGTATAGACCTTTAAAATAAATGATATAAAAAAAAATTATACATTTTATTTTTTAATTATTGTTAAAGTTTTCACTTTTAAAAATATTGATTTGATATTAGTTTGACGCATGCCTATCAAAAAAAAAAATTAAATTTGAAGAAAAATGATAAAACCCGTGTCAACGCTCAGATTATTTTTGGTTCCCTTTCTAAATCGCTAAAAATCAAATATTTCACTTATATCTACTAGGAAATTTTTCAAGTAAATTTGATATTAATATTAATAGATGATAGAGAAGTAAGCACTTGTATTTTAATTGAGTTTTCTCCCAATTTAGTTTCTTTTGTTTTAAAGATTTTAGAACCTACCCCTTATAATATTTATTTCTGTTTATCCTAGGCCATTTAACCTTTGAGGTATAAACACCCTATTCTGGTTTGTTTTAAAATTTGACATTAATAAATTTTGTTATCGGTACAAATAAAACAAAAACGTGGTAAAACCATAATAGCCTCTTCTTTTTAGGGCTGTTTAGAAGAAGCTATATCGACGGCTGTTTATAAATAATCCAAACGTTGTGACACTGCCGAAACTATTAAATATATTTATTTTAAATCTATTTTAAAAATGCTCACATAGTATAGTGTTGGTAAACAGCTCGATTTGAGCCGATTTTTAAAAAGGGCTAACTTAATATTTCAGCCAGAAAAATATTGCCTAAGCCTCGAAATTTCGATAATAGGTGTTCAAACCTTTGTGTTATCTATGAGTAAAATCTTAAGGATTGCGCAATATTCTTTCTGGGTAAGATATTGAGTTAGCCGTTTTTAAAAAAATTAGGTCATAACGAGTCGATTAACAAATAGGCACACACAATAATAAGGTGTTTGGATGAGCTAATTTTTTAAAACCAATTCCCTCTCCCCTTTTCGTGTCATCTTATTAAGCTAAGTAATGTTGTAATATATCACTTTAAAGCCCCTCAAATCAGGGTTAGGTCTTGGTCTTGGGTTTAAAAAGATAAGCACCAGACCGAGAATTTTTTTTAAAAAAAGTTCGAACTTAGACTTTACGAAATATAGAAACTTATTCAAATAAAAAGAAGAACAATTAGTGATATTTTATTTAGCTTTTTTTTAGGAAAGTTTAATTAATTTTTTTAAATTAAATATGATGGCGTAGGAGGTGATAGGGGTAAAAATTCTAACATTAAATTGGATGGAATTCTCCGAAGCGCGTTGGCTCGCGTCTATATCGATTACGTATCTGTCATAATCGCAGCACATAATATTTTTACTGTCATCGGCCAAAGACATTTTTACGTCCGAGTTTAAACCCGCGAGATTGTAACGAGGCTTAATCAAAGCTGTAAAAAATATATGTATATTTAAATATTTAAATCTAATGATATAGCTATACTCCCCTGGAATAAATTTTTTTAAAAAAAAGTATGATAACAAAACTGATTAATTCGGTCTGAAAATAATAAGGTGTTAACAGTGAAAAGGTAGGTCAAAAACGAATACTAATCAAATGGTAAATTATTCCCAACTCGATTCTTTCGAACGATTTGAATGACCTACTATTCATAATTACACCAGTTGAATAAAAACAGCAATTATTATACGAATAGTAATTGTTTGGTTTGTTTAAACGAAGCGAATTCTAACAAATGTTTACGTTTTTGAGTAGGCCTACGATATTTTGAATCGATTTTTTTAAAACAGTTCATAATTAAGATTTTAGCCAAAATAATATTATGTGTAAGACTCAATTAATCTGGCGAATAGAGGTCCGAACATTTCTGCTACCTATGTGAGCAAAATCTCCAGGCTTACATAATATTATTTTGGGTAAAATCTTAATCTGGCCGTTTCTAATAATCGATTCCAATTGGGCTATTTAACAACACTAGCCTACGAATAGGGAACTCGTTCGTTATTTTTTTGGTTTCAGAGTTTGAAAATTGTTTTTTTGTTTTATAAAAATTGTGATTTTCATCATGAAAGATTTGTATTTATACATTTAAATCACCACGAAATAATATTTGAAATTTTAGGTGAGCAGAAATCCTTGTTTGAGCAATTCCCCCAAAAAAGCGTTTCAAACAAACTCTACTCTTTTTTTTGTTTCTTCTCAAAAGTCGATTCATGCAGAAAAAAATTTCACTTGCGATTTTATTGTATAAGCCATGTTTCAAAGACTCATTTAACAAAGCTTTCATTTCATAACTTTTAACAGAATTTTAATTTTTTTTTTTGAACATCTCGTTTTTCTTCTTCTTCTCCTTTAAATTTTATCCACAGAATTAAGGTTATTATTGTTTAGTGTTGTTAAACGGCCCGATTAAAATTTTAGCCTAATTATTACGGAAGCTTGGAGATTTTTTGCTCGTAGATGGCAGAATGGTTTAAACCTCTATTTGCCAAATCCCGAGCCTTACATAATATTATTTTGACTAAAATCCTAATCAGGCCGTTTTTTAAAATTCGACCCAAATCGCGCCTTGTAACAACGCTATATTTGTTAAAATAATATAATACATATATCTTGGTAAAGTAAACGAATATAATGTTAAAAAAATTTTTTAATTTTTTTTTTTGCAAAATAACCTAACTTTTTGCATTGATTATATTTTCACCAAAAAATAAATAAAATATTTACCCTTATCTGAAGCATTATCTTCTCCTGCGCTCGGAATTGCCGCTAAATAAATTAAAATAAAATAAGAAAAAAATTAAAATTAAATCTTTTTATACCGCTTCTTTTTTCCCGAACCAAGTTATCTTCGATTAAGGAAACAGATTTTTTAATCAACGCCTCGCTATCTATTCGCTCCTCGCCATCAGACAATTCTAGAAGAAGGGGAAGAAAAAAAAATCGACCTTTAGAATTCAACGCATATTTTTCGAGAATGGCATTTATTCATATCATAATATATTAGCTCACTGAAATATGAAATCCTCACATTTTTTAAAAAATAATTTATGTAATTGGATTTATTTTTTAAAAAAAATAAGTACATTTATTTATATTTTTTTTAGTGTCGTTTAACAGATCGATTTGAGCCGTTTTTCTTAAAAATGGACTAACTCGCTATTTTATCCAGAATATAACGCTAGCCATGAAAGATTTTGATCATAGTTGGAAGGTTTAGGATTGTACATCTATTAGGAAAATCCTGAGATATATTGAGCTAGACGTTTTCGAAAATCGGCTGAAATCGAGTAGTCTAACAAAACTAAATTTAAAAAAAAATACTAATGCGGATGGTTAATATATTCCGTAGACCTGCAGAGGTATCATTTGCAAGGCCCGGCCCGTATTTTTTTTCAAAAAATTTTGTTCTTAAGGCCAGTGCAGGTTTCTGATATATTCTCAATAAATGATATGAAAGTAATGAAAAAAATAATTGATATAAGTTCAATCACTCATAACATTTCCTCAGTTTATAATGCTATGGAAAGATCATGAAGTATTTTTATTTTAATTGTAATTTAAAAAAAAGAAAGAAATGGAATTAAGAATTTAATAAAGTAATGCTCTATTACCCACTAATAAAGGTTGATCTCTTTTCATATCCATGGTGATTGTTAATTTGCATCCAGAAACTTTGAATAAGCTGTCGCTGTTGTTTTTAAATTCTAAATGTATTATAATAATACAATATTTTTTTTAAAAAATAACATGCGAAGTTGACTATCCTTCCTCCCCCCAAAAATAAACATTTTTGATAATTAAAAAAAACTATCGAATGTTTTTTAAGGGGGTAGCTAAAGCCTATAATTAGTTATATTTCGTTTTGTAACGAGATTCACAATCTAAAGACTGTTGAAATTATGGTATATAATCAATGGCAATTTAAAAAGTCATTAATTCTTGAAGTTATAAGGTAGTCTTACCCCTCATTCACAATTAGCGTGAATTCTTGGCGAGCTATACAAAAATAGACCCTCCATTTACAGTTGGCGCGAATTCGCGGTAGTGAATTCTTTTTTTATAGCAAAAAAGATAGGTGGGTGCAAATGACAACAAACAATTTATATAATGTAATCACGATATCATATGCAGAGTTTCCCATCTTAAAAAAAAATGAAAAGTCCTAATCAAAAAAGAAAAAAGATCCGACCAAAATAGGAAAAGTGTTGATCAAAAAAGGAAAGGTTCCAAAGGTTAAAAAAAAATTTCAATATAAAAAAAAAAATTTTAATCAAAAAAGGAAAATTCACATTCAAAAAAGGAAAATTCATCATTCAAAAAGGAAAATCGTTTAAAAATTGTTTCTTTTTTTCATAATAATTATTTATTTCCCTTTAATTTTTCTTCACATTTCTATTTATATGTTATTTTTAACAATTCTATTTCAATTTTTGTATCCTACATAATAATTCTTTGACCTTTTATGATTTTTCAACCCTATATTTTTATTTTTTAAATTTCACTTAATTTTTATTTATGTTTGGCAATCAAATTTTTTTTTTTTATGGCTTTTGACATGTTAAAAAAAATGATAGTTTTATAAATATAGCATCATGCTTTAAAATAATCTATAAAACTGTGACAAATATAAAATACTCCCATCTCAAAAATGGAATAAAATATAATGTACCCAAAAAAGGCTCACGCGCACACAAGAAATTAAATCAGAAACAGGAAGAATATATATTAAATTGTATAAATTTGAATTGCATATTATCCTTAAAAAAGTAGTGTGAAATGATTAAATAGAGATATTATGATGCAGAAATATCAAAATATATGGTATCAAGGTTACTATCTGAATTTAGGTATAGTTTTAAAAGACGTTCAGTTGGAGAAAATACCGAGTCAAACATTGTGATTCGGAAAGAATACGCAGATTGATTTGTGTATGTATCCTATATGAAAGAAAAATTTATTTTCATCGATGAGAAGCGGCTTTTCAATATCAATGAGACGGTTATATCAATATTCATGAATAATTAAAAATTATATTAAAAATTGTCCAAGGGATAAAGACAATATCCTAATTGTTGCTCACAAAAGATTGCGGGAATATTCAGATTTAACTTTTTTGATGGCCTCTGTAACACTATATACTTTAGCCGCGTTGTAAATAAAATGCTAAATTATTTTGAAGAAAGTAATATAATGAATATGATTTTTGTGATGTTCTATTTCATCACAACCAAACAATTAGAGAATCATTAGAAAGGAGAGAGCGTAAAATATTTACCACCATGCAACCCTTATCTTATAATTCCATTGAAAATATGTTTTTAAAATGGAAAATTTCGTCAGAAATCAAAATCCTAATACACGGGGAGGAATCAATCGTAGAGTAGAGCATGGAGGGAATATCTGAGGTGAATGCAAAGAATTATTTTAAAAATATGTAGTTCCAAAGTAGAAAAGGAGAAAGTTTCTCATTATATATATATATATATGTAATTGTATTGATATGCAAAATATACTAATTTTAAAAAAATTTGATTGCCAAAGAGAATTAAAAGATAAATCAAATTTAAAAAATAAATCAAAATTATTATGCATGCAAAAAAAGGAAAAAGAATTGTTGACATAAAAATAGAGAAGTAAATAAAAATAACAGGGTAAATAAATTAATTTTAAAAAAAAAAGAAAAAAAAATAGAAGAATACGAACGAAAATAAAGAAACAATAGAAAGGGCAAAAATAGAAAGAATTACTATAAAATGAATGTAATAAAAAAAAATGAACCGTGGAATACTAGTGTTTCATGGCCTGCTGACAATCCTTTAAAGGGGTATCTTTGACCTCCCAAAGTGTCATCAAATTGGAATTCACATGTTCCAACCATGAGCATTTCTGATTTAGAAGCTATAACTTTTTGTAAAAATATTGTATAAATATAAGATCAAAAGATGGGGGAAAAATATTTGATAAATTACTAAGGCCTCTAACCGCTACTCACAGTATTTCCCAAGATTGAAATTTGAAAGTGTAAAGAATACGAAAGAAAAAAGTCTTATACCATTTTATTTTACGATATTCAATTATAATAAATAAAAGTGCTGCAAAGTAACGTAGATGAACGCAACGCCGTTACTAGAAAAAGGAACTCCATTCGTTATTTTTTCAAAAGGTAATGAGTAATGCGTTTTTTTTTGAATTAACGGTAATACTTAAATTTTTTTTATTTTATTTTATCATATTATGCTTTTTTTTAAAGAAAAACAATTTCATAAATAATTTAAGCCTACTTTTTATAAGAGATCAACCGCCAAAGTTCTTCGTTTTTATTTTATTTACTGCATTTTTGTTATTAAATTTTAATACAGTTAAGATTGTTAATCTAATTAATATTGAGTTAATCAAGATTTGTTAAATTTTATCCAGGATGTGAACCCGAAACCATTTCAAAAGTTGAGGGTTCAAGGTATTGAAAAAAAATCTTTTAAAAAATTCCTTAAAATAATAAATTATATAAAAATATTCATGAAAAATTAATAAAAAGTGTTTTTTACATATAATCCTTTTTCATTTTCTTCGCATATTTCAAAATTTTCACTTTTTTACATCTGGCCCTAATTCAAATTCATGGAAGTAAAAATATGAATTCAGATTCTCTGACAAAAATATTTTAAAAAATTGTGATCTGAATGAAGATTCTCGTGAAGATTAAATAAGTATTTTTGAAAATAAAGATCATTATTAATTATTTGTAATAAATTCCCCAATTGATACAACCTTCCAATTCTCTGCTCCATTTGAACGTATGTTTAGCAGGGAAAAAATAAATAAAAATATAATATGTAGTTTTTTTAAAGTAACGAGTAACGCATTTCTTTTTTAAAGTAACGTTTGCAGAATTAATAAATACCATTAAATTTCATATAAATCTAATTTTTTAAAATTTACTTGTTTAAATAATTTAGGGTAGTTGATTTTACTTTTAATCGAAGAAATTATACTCTTGCAAAAATATAGATTAACAAAAATTCTATGTTATAACTTAAGGCAAATTTATTATTTCATATATATATATATTAAAAATGACAGATATTTTCTACTACAAAAAAAATAAATCATTTTTCTTTCGATATTTTATTCAATAAAATTATTTTATCTCAATGCTATTCTGTTTCTTTCTAGATTCGTGAAATTGGCAATAAATGATGATATAGCTCTGACGAGAACACAGTTAAGTGACATTGTTTATTGTAAAATCCACCAAATCTATGAACAATCAATATATAAGTGTTAGTAGACACAAATATTTTCTTTATAGATTTTACGATTAAATCTTAAAGTTAAAACTTAAATGCATTCATCCTATTGAAATTAGAACCCTAAAAAATCGTTGTTTTCCTTTTATTTGACCCGTGTCCTGTTATAAAAAAAATACTTCAACAGGACTGAATTACAGAAGATAATTTGCCGAAAAAACCCAGCAATAATTTTCTTTTTAGAGAAAAATCTTTTTAATCTACATTTTTATAATTCCTTGAAGATCATTTTTTTTTATCTAATTAATTAGTAATTTGCCTAATCTCCTTGGTATAAATTGCTATGGAGATAATGGCGATTTAATTGATTTGAAATGAAATCACGAATTTAAATTTCCTCCAAGGAAAATTAAAATTTCAAAATTTAGGTAATAAATTAAAAACGGTCAGTTACGGTTCATTAAATTATAACGGTTCGTTCTGGTTTCGCGGTTCCGTTTTCGGTTTGAAGCCCTGACAGGATTAATTTTATAATGGAATAGAGAAATGTATCTTAAATAATATTTTGCTTTATAATTTCTCGGGCTGATTTTTTCTTAATAGTTTTGAAAATTGTTTTTACTATTTTATTACAGGTCTAGTATAATTTATTAGTAAAGGGTGATATTTTATTGAGAATTTTCGTAGACCAATGGCTAGAGGCAGGATACCAATTTAAATAAGGAACGATTACCTCATTATTTAAACTATATTATAAATTTGATAAATGTTAATATTCTATTTTAATTAGAGAAGAAATTTTTTTTTTACTTGTGATTAGTGCCACAATGGCTAGGAATAATATCTTGACCATTTTTCCTTTTTTTTCAAATATGAAGGGTAGAAGATAAAACTATAATTTTAAAATTAAAAATAAAAAATGAAATAAAATCTCGTTATAATATTCTAACTAAATTGGATAGTTTAATATTATATCAAATGCTATAGATAGATATATTACAAGCACAAATATTTGCAAAGTCGAGAAAAAAAAGGAATTTATTCCAATATTAAATTTTTTTTTAATTTAAAAATCCTAGATTATTCAAGGATTTTATTTTTCTAAATAAAATTAGATAATAATATACTATACAAATATTTCTGTGCAAATAAAATTTAATTATTTGAAGAAAAATAAAATCAAAGAATAATAATTACCATACCTTTGTCCTCTGAAATGAGTATTGATCAAAATTAATTAAAAAAATTCAGGCAATTATATATCTCAGAGACTAATCCTAACCTCAGGCCATAAAAGTTTCATAATAAAAAAATCCTGGCCGAGCTTAAAAAAAATAATACCATGATTCATCATTTAACATTCCTTCTCTTATCATTGCTAGAAACCATTTATAAAATATATACTGAAAATTAATTATTTTTTTAAAAAAAAGGCCAAACCAAAAAAGTAAAAAATATAGATCACAGATTAAATGGTGCTGGGGAGGGGAATGGTTTGGGATTAGAGCACGGAACATATAGGCGTATCCAGGATTGGGCGGGAGGTGCACTATCAGGGTTAAAAATATTTGTAAAACAATGGGTGGGAAATAAGTCAGTGAATTTTAAATATTTTTAAGGCGAAATGAGCAGAAGACTTCTATTTATTAAATAATCCTTTTTTTTTAATTTCATAATATTTCATATTTTAAAATTTAAATACAAATACATTAAAATAAAATAAACAAAGAGCCAAACCAACCATTGAGATTCGGGTTAAAACCCACCCATTCGAGAATTCTAGGTATGATACAGACAAATTTATTTCATATAATTTAAAAAATTAAAAGCGACTAAATAATATTTTAGCTGACCGCGGCACAATATTATAAGATCCTCAATTTCTATTAAAAATATAAGAAATAATCGTGGATTCAAAATGCAAATATTTTTTTAAATAACTATTTTAGGGAGTAGTTAAGTAATGTATTAAATAAATTCACCTATGAATTAATTTTCTCTGCCTTGTGCTTTTTTTGCTCTCTAATAGCAGTTTCGATTTTCATTTAAGCGACATAAAAAATTATTTATCTTTAATATTATTATTTCTTCTAGCTTCTTATAAGTTTCAGGGGGGGGGGCTAGATTATCGACTTACGAAATCTTGCTACTTCATCAGCAGTTCAATATCATTCGGATGTGGAATGTATTCCAATGTCGACAGGTGTGTGTTATGAATTTGGTAATTAAGCGAATATCATTTTGAAAAAAATAAATTGATTAAAATTCTAATAAATAAATGGTGCATCTAGAGATAGTTATATAAATGAATTATTATTATTGAACTGATATATATATAATGAGTGTATTCTAATATTGACAGGTGTATGTTATGAATTTGGTAATTAAGCGAAAATCATTTTGAAAAAATAAATAAATTGATTAGGTGTATGTTATGAATTTGGTAATTAAGCGAAAATCATTTTGAAAAAAAAAATAAATTGATTAAAATTCTAATAAATAGATGTTGCATTTCTAGAGATAGTTATATGAATGGATTATTATTATTAAATTGATATATATATATATATATAATGAAAATATGCTTTCTAAAATTAAATATACGAATCTTAAAATAAGATTTTTATATTACAATATTACTAATTAATAAAATAAAAAATAAAATTAAATTAAATTAAATTAAAACGTAGATAAATAAAAAAAAAGGAATCCCTATAAAGTTAGAGCGAATTTATAATATTCATCAAATATATGTACAGTGTTGTGCAGATTTAATTTAAAATATTTCCATATTTTAACAATTTCTTGCAAGCAAATAATTTTATTTTCAAATAAATTGAAAAATATGGATATGTTTTAAATTAAATCTGCAAAACACTGTATAAAGTTGTTTTTTTAAAAAAATTGTTCGACCTTCGTAATAAACTATCAATATTTGTTTTAATATATTTGAATCATTTTTATAAGAAAGGTCAGAAATAAATTTCTGAAAATCGATTAAATTAAGTTTCCTAAAACACTTTAATTAAAATTTTTAGAGATATTTACACAAGAGGTCATTCATTTATTCTAGTGAACTTAAAATAGAAAGTGAAAATTTGTTGAGTTTTCAGCCTTGCTTCCAGCAATGTGTTTGTTCTTAAAATCAAGATATCCGCCATTTACTACTATGATATTATTACCTAAAATAAATATAATGGAAATTTAATAATTCATAATTTTACGTACATTATAAAGCGCCCTTGGTTAATCGGAAAGCAGGCTGCAAAGATATAGGCCTCTTCGATGAATTTTGAGCCTGATTCAGCCAAGACCTTAAAATAGGACTCTAATTCATAGCTAAAAAATCCAATATATTTTTTTTCAAGACTCTAACAGAGATCTGGTTGATAGAGGCTTGTAAAAAAAAATCAAAATTGGCTTGATTATGCTTTGAATAATATGATTAACGAAAAAACTATCTGAAATATTTCTCTATCAAGTTTGCCCTAAGATTTTACTAAATATATTCAAAGTTGTTATCCGATATTGATCTTTGTATCGAACGCTATGGAGCTACTGTTAAAATTTAGATATATCGACTTATTGTGTTGCATTTTTGAGGTACTTATAATGAAAACTTAATAAATTTTTCCTCCTTTTTTTAGCTTATATTATATTATTTTAATATATAAATTTAGAAGTAAAAAAATATTTAATTTTTATATAAGTTGAGATTATTAAAATTAGTACATCATTAAATAACTAAAATTAACAAAATAAATAAAAATAATTAATTTTATTTAAATTAAAAAAATTCTCATTTTAAAAATCATATGAACAATGTCATTTCTTATTTTAAACAACTTTTTAAGTGATTTAGAATTTTTCGATTTCATTTCTTCTTGTAAAGATTTAAATTATATCATATAGGAGAATAAATTTATAATATCAGCTATTTTCCGCTCAAATTTAATTTTTTTATACTATGGTTGGATCTAAAACTCAGAGAATCGATCAATAAAAGAAGAGCTGATGATTCATAGGCGCCGACTTCATAGGGACTATGGCTTTCACATCCAAAAATGAAACAAAGAAGAAAATAAACTTATACTTTTTAGATAATCTCAGTGAGGTTGCTAACAAGAGAAAAAAATTTATTACACCAAATAAAGCTTTTGAAACTTTTTATTTCTTAAAATGATGATAACAATATTTGCCCAAATATAAGTTTTATTCTGACATCCAAAGTTCTTCTATATATTTTCAAAATTTTGGTTATAAAATAGAAAAATAATAAGAATTCCCAATAAGTGCTGCAAAGCGATCGTTTTCAGGACTTACATGACTAAATTCTTATTTACTTTCTAGGATGAAACAGCGACGATTAAATCATATCCCAATTTTAAATGTTATTAAAGAAGCAGAATAGAAGTTGATCTATGTGATAATGAATATTTTTATAATTAAATAAAATAAATATAAATGATAAAGATTTTATTTTGCCTTAACATATTAACATTTATATTATATCGTTGAAAAAAAAAGATATATTAAATATTATTTAGTGTATTATAAAAAAAAATAAGATTTTCTATACAAAATTTGCATTTTTTTTACAATTAAAATTTGATTCGGTTTTTCAAGTTATGATTATGAATATATCTTTTAAAAAAAATTCCATCACCATAGATTATTTGTAAATAATAATTAGATAGTTATTAACTTCTCAAATTTTAAAAATTGAAAGGACTTAAATGATCTGACATATTTAGCACACGTCTTAGTAGATTTACTGTTTTTCGAATATTAAACAATTATTTACAATATATAACACCTAATAAAATAGAAAATTCAATATTTTTAAAAAATTGTATCTGATAAGTATCGACAGGTCTCTTTTTAGAATTTGATATCGAGATTGGTAATATATACTATTCAAAAGTATCGTTAACAAGTTCTGAATATTTTTTTAAAAACAAGTCGACGATACAATTAATTAAATAATATCAACGTCTTAAATTTTCCCTTTTTTTTAAAACTAAGTTGTCCACAAATGTAATTTCGAAATTTTATCATCCACTAAAAAAAATTAAAATTATTTATTTTCACATAAAAAATGAACCTTAATTTAGGTCAAAATCACCACTTAAAAATGAAATAAAATACAATTAGGGTGTGGCTAGAGGCAAATTAATTTTTAAATTTTATTTATACAAAAAAATAAATTAAATTTTTTTAAAATAATTGTAAAGATGGGCAAAGGCCGAATAATTTCTTATATTTTTATTAATTTGAAGAAATAAAAACCAATATATATATTATTAAAATTAATTTGATGCTTACAAATACGAAATTCATAAACTGTCATATACATACAAAAAAATACCATTTACAATTTTTCAATTTTATTTTACAACACCTCAGATAATTATATTTGAAGGATATTTAAGGTAATTTTAATATAAAAAATTGTGATATCGAGAAAAGAAAAATACAAGTTATTTAAAAAATAATTAAATCTTTAAATCAAAACTTTTTTATTTTATAATTTTAAATTTATTTAAAGATATTTGATTATTCCATATCATCACGAAAACCTTTAAAAAAAGATGAACATACGATTATTCGAATATATGACCAGTTTTGTATATATTTCTTTATTGATCAGCACAAGTATAATTAAAAATTTTTTGAAAAAAAATATTATAGATAAATTCATAATAAAAATATTATTATTTTTTCCTGATATGGAATTTCGTCGTATTCTAAATAATTAGAACCATTCCAATTCAAAAGGAGGGTAGCAGTGACATCATTCCTTATTAAATATCAATCTACCTATTTATGCGCCAAAATTTTTAGAAAGATAGGAGGTTGATTGTTTCATATCTTATTGAACAAGATTAG